GCGCAATAGGGTTAACTTTCCGGATCCCATATGACCCAATATCACATAGATCTCACCCACATAGATTCGCATTGAGATGTTCTTTAAAATTTTGCGTTCAGATGTACGATGCGCTGTGAATATATGGCGCAGGCGGACTATCTCTGAACTGCCAACATCTCCAAACTCGAAATTGTGCCAGCTAGGCGTTCGACCCAAATGGATGGGGGTGTCATCCAAAGTGTGTTTTCGGCATCTGTTATACATCATACGCCTACTTAACAATCGTCCGGGCATCCGCCACTGTAGAATGCATAGAATACCTATAGAGACTAATATATATACAAGTCCAGAAACAAAAGGTGAAAGATAGTCTATAGGACGGAGGGTGCCCGGTTCATCAATCAATCGATGAATCATTTGCATACTATGCGGAATCTGATTGCTGAAGAAAATCATCAATATAAAGTACACATAAAGCCCGTGTAAGTCCCAATATCGCTTGAGCATTAATCCAAAGACGGCATAATTAAACGTCCAAATAATGATCGCAAAGAGTACCGCATTGACTACATCCCTAAAGATCTTTGCTATGATAATTCCCGTTAGGATCAGCTCCAGCGTTATAATAATCACAAACACGATTAATAGCAGCAATGCTATTGGAGAAAAGATCCCATCGACAACTGACCAATAAATCTGGAGAAAAAAAACTGTACCCTATACACATGCATACAATAAGAGATCTTTAAGAAACTTACAAATGTTGCGAACATTATTAAAAGTCCAAGGCAAAGAAGACGTAGCATCAGAACAAGCACTATGCAAGTATATTGCTTACAAAAACTATATCCGTAGTGCCACTGATGCGTCAGAACATTGTCCTTCATCTGTGCGGCCATATTCTATAAGGAAATAACAGAATTACATTATCTACAATCCAATACTCTAGACTTTCTCAATGCTGTAGATATATATCAAGATATTATAAATATGAAATTTAACAAGAGTGCTCTAGTCGAGACAGCTCAACTAGGAAATACCCCGTACCCTGTAAGCTGATATTCTAATCATTCTGCACTTCTCTTATACACACATGCATACACATGCATCTGCACGCACGCATAACTTCACGCTCTGCTAGCTGCGTAGTTAGTAGCGACTGCGCTTGGGCTGCGGTGTGTGCAATATTATAATTTATTTGTGGGAAACATTTCTCCTGTAATGAAATTTAGATCAAGAGGTTAAAATGTGTGTACATTCTAAAGCACAAGTCTCTAGTACCTAAAATTGGGGGCGCTAAAAACGAAATCCATTTTTCGATTATTTACGATAAAAAAAAGTTATGGGATGAGTTATCGAAATATATGATAAACTCGTACTGCGTATGCCATACACGAGTATGCATGCAAACTTTCAAGTCCCTAGCTCTTATAACTTCTGAGATCTAGGCGTTCATATGGACAGGCGGACAAGGCTAAATCGACTAATCTCGTCGCCCTGATCAAGAATATATATACCATCAATATATATATATACCAAGAATATGTATACCTATTACATGTGTACATTACAACAAAGCCATTATACCCTGATTTCCCAGGTTCAATGGGTTTAGAGTATTAAAAATCTTGAAAAGTTCGAACCACCTAGTTGTGTTAGACTCACCCGTATGACGTTTATAAACGGTAACAGATAGATAAAGTTAAATAGAAAAGATGGAATAGCGTCAAAGTCCATTGTAGAGCAGCGCTCGTTGGCTACACGGAGTCGCACATTGAAAACTTCCGTTTGGGGCTCTGTTGCTTTAGATGGATCTTGGCTTCGTAGCATGTGGAACCATGCCAAAAATACTTGATGTTGTAGCTGAAGGAAGCCTTCGCGTATGTACAAATCCTGATTTGCGTCATTATCCTTAGCATTATCCCGTTTTGAATTAACAACGCCTGAGCATCGAGTTAGCCATAGACGGTCTTCGGTGAGAAATGGACTAATCGTTCGAAATTCGCTGGGGAAACGTATCGATACAGAGAGCACCTTTGGAATAGCATCAGGATCTTTATCCAATCTGTCAAAAACAACAGCAGCCAGCATAGTGCGTTCATCAAATTGATTTTGCAAGGTTTCTGGATCATTATAGCCAATCGAATTGTTTAACTCCAGTACAGATGTCACGACATCGACGACGCTTCTTACAAATGCCGTATCCGGCGAGTAGGCCAGCTTATATTTGGTTTGCTCACGCTTTGAGTCGACCAGCCCCCTACCAGTTGCAACATTTGGACCTCGATTAAATGCACCTAGCACATGTATTGGCATATATGTATGTAGCTTACGTGAGTATATTTATATCATCCAGCTTATGGGATACGATGGTCTGGTCTCCCTCATAGTCAGTGCGACTATAGAGCGCTCTTTTTGAATAGGAAATGGGATTGGCAAGTATTAAAATCAACATTATGATAACGATTATCCATTCAAATAAAGTGCGCCTCCAAAGATCCAATTCGATTTGCACATTGTGTTTAAAGAGCAAACCAAATGTAGCCGGCATATTGTAACAGCTGTGTTTTTTACTACTATCAAAATTCGTCTTAGTTAATTAGTACATTTGTGAGCCACTCAATGCTAATTTTAAAAAAATTTTAGTATGCATCTATAACAAAATAAACTTGTGTAAATAATCCTTTTCTATATTTGACAGAAAGCGCACAGAATTCAAATTTATCATTCGATTAACCTCGAATTATTATAACAATCGGCCGACAATACTTGATTTAGAATGCAGAAATGCGGACATTAAAAATTTCTTAGTGTCAGTAATAAGATATTTAAAAAATAAATACTAATAATTATTAACTAAAAACATTGATTTGTAATACATCGATATCATAAATGCAACAGCATGTTGGTTGCGACAGTGTCTTAATATTGGCAACACAGATCTACAGCACTATCCAGCACTGGTTAGTGTCTACAGTAAGTAGTGCCGCAAAAGTATCGAAATGTATCGATATTTTGACCGAATTTTTCGATATGTTGTCGTATCGATATTTTGAGAGAAAATATCGATAGTAGCGATATATTGAGCATTTATTGTTAATATCAATATTCTCGTAAATTATCTTTTATAATGCTTATCTAAGTTATGAGTCATAACTTATGACTTCTTAATGGATAAAATGGCATACATTTCAAGAAAAGTTATCATATTGACAGTTTTTAACGAATCTCGTCTAGATTTAGCAAATTTTGCTTTCTGAAGATGTTGCCAGAATATATTAGTTTTTTGATAAAAAAAAATGAGCGTAATTTAAGAAATGTGCTTGTTACACAGTCAAAATCAACGCCAAGAGTAGCCATATTTTCGATATATCGATACTAAGAAACCCATATCGATGTTTATCTATAATCTATAATTTTAAAATATCGATTATAACAATACTGATACGATATTTTTGCAGCACTAACAGTAAGGTAGACTTGCCGAGTCATAATCGTATTCACTTGGTGAACGCTGTAAGCAATTTGCAAGTTTTACACTTTAGCGAAGCTCGCATATAATAGGAGGAAAATCAATTCCCAACATAACTATTAAGATGACACTCACAAATCGGGTAAAAATTCGTAAACTATATTCCACAAGAAACAACAACAAAAAACAATGCATTTCAGATGGATTTGGAGTCGGTCTACAATGTTGGCGTGGGCTTTCGTTCATATTATATTCAAAAAATTGAGGAACTGCAATTAATTGTGGCGGAGAAAAGTCAAAATCTACGCCGATTACAGGCACAACGTAATGAGCTTAATGCTAAAGGTATAAAAGACAAAGTAAATTTTAAAGCCTTATAATATAAAAAAGTAATTTTGTAGTCCGAATGCTGCGAGAGGAGTTGCAACTGTTGCAGGAACAAGGCAGCTATGTTGGTGAGGTTGTGAAGCCAATGGACAAGAAAAAGGTGCTTGTCAAGGTCCATCCCGAGGGTAAATTTGTTGTTGATTTGGACAAGAACATTGATATTAACGATGTAACACCAAATTGTCGCGTTGCACTGCGCAACGAAAGTTACACTCTGCACAAGATATTGCCCAACAAAGTGGATCCGTTGGTGTCGCTTATGATGGTCGAAAAAGTTCCCGATTCCACGTATGAAATGGTTGGCGGCTTAGACAAACAGATCAAAGAAATCAAGGAAGTAATCGAGCTGCCTGTCAAGCATCCCGAATTGTTTGACGCCTTAGGTATTGCCCAGCCAAAGGGTGTACTGCTCTATGGCCCGCCCGGCACTGGCAAAACGCTGCTCGCTCGCGCAGTAGCCCATCACACGGAATGCACATTCATACGCGTCTCTGGCTCCGAGCTGGTTCAAAAGTTCATTGGCGAGGGCTCACGTATGGTGCGTGAGCTCTTCGTCATGGCGCGCGAGCATGCCCCATCAATTATATTCATGGATGAAATTGATTCGATCGGCTCGTCGCGTATTGAATCTGGCTCTGGCGGCGACTCTGAGGTGCAGCGCACCATGTTGGAGCTGCTCAATCAGCTGGATGGTTTCGAGGCCACCAAGAACATCAAAGTCATCATGGCAACCAACCGTATTGATATACTCGACCCAGCACTACTTCGTCCTGGCCGCATTGATCGCAAAATTGAGTTCCCGCCACCAAATGAAGAAGCGCGTTTGGACATCCTGAAAATTCATTCGCGCAAAATGAACTTAACGCGCGGCATCAATCTACGGAAGATTGCTGAACTGATGCCTGGCGCATCAGGTGCCGAGGTCAAAGGTGTCTGTACCGAGGCTGGAATGTACGCACTGCGCGAGCGTCGTGTGCATGTCACCCAGGAAGATTTCGAAATGGCCGTCGCCAAGGTAATGCAAAAGGACTCTGAGAAGAACATGTCCATCAAGAAGCTGTGGAAGTAAACCTTAACTATGAATAAAAAAAACAAGTTTCATTGAACAACTACGATTCTAATTTAATTTCTCACAATATAATTTTAATAATAGTAAAACAGAAATATGTATTTTTTGTTATATGCACTTTTGTAATGAATTTAATAGCTGCTTTTGTTGCGCAGCTGCAGCTCGGCTTTTAGTATGCTGCAAATCTCTACATCATCGGCCACATCGATGCACGTCTGGCCATCGACATCGCGCAGCTCCATATTCGCATTCAACGATAGCAAATAGCGCAAGGCCTCCACATGGCCACAGCTGGCGGCATAATGCAATGGCGTCTGTTGCTCAGCATCGCGCTGATCGACGTCGGCGCCTTGCTTGATCAGAAACTCAATGATCTCAATGGCATTGCGATCGGTTGCCCAGTGCAGCAAGGCCATGCCTTGCTCATCCAATTCAATTAGATCCGCGGGCTTCAGTTGCTCACGCAACCGCTCCAAGTTCTTCTCCTTGACATGGTCAAATAACGTCTTCTGCTGCTCCGGCTTGTTGGTCTCTTCTATTGGCACCGATTCAATAGAGTGCACCACCCAACCGGTCCGACCACTTGCGGTACCACCAATAATCTGTTTGTTATCCAACCAACTGGGATCCAGTTTGTGTACTTTATCAACATACGCACGCTGCGCATCGGCGCTGCTCATGTCGCCTAGTTCGTGCCATGCTTGCCACTTGCTGCGCGCTTTCATTTGCAGCATCGACGGGCGAGGCCCGTGACACGCCCCACTCGTTGCCTGCTTGTATAATGCATAGAATTCAAGCAAATCTCTGGCTTCGTAGACATTCGCTTTGTGCATTACATGTTCCGTTGCCACTGAGAAAAGCTTTTCATGTTCCTTTCCCTGCTGGTGTTCTTCCTCATCGTCAATTTCTAAGTCACTATCGTACATACTTAACTAAATGCAAGTGGATATAAGAAATGAATCAAACTAAAACTGTTTTACTTTTCAGTGAATGGGCGCGTGTGTGTGTGTGTGTGTGTGTGTGTATCTGTTCGCATGTGTGTGAGTGTTCGTGTATGTGTATGAGTGTGTGTGTACGTATGTGTTGGATTTAAAATTTATATTGAATTTATGACTTTTGTATGTTCAAATAATTGCCCTCCAATATGTGTTTTTGTTCGTTTTCGATTTTCTCGAGCGCCTGCAAACTGTTGAAGCTCACAAAACCGTAGCCCTTGGAGCATCCGGTTTTTTTATCAAAAATCACGTTGGCGTTTAGAACACGTCCGAACTCTTTGAAATAGCCGCGTAACTCCTGGTGGCCGACCGTCCAGGGTAAATTGCCCACAAAAATGCGGTGAACTGATTTTCCAACTTTTGCCACTGCGGTTGCCATGTGTACGTACAATTTCTCGCTGTTCTCTCTCACTCTCGATTTTCCTCTCTATCTCTTTCTATAGGACCTGCAAATGTAATAATGGAAATTAGTTAAATATTTTAGCTCGGCAATCCGTTTGCCCCACCTGCTTGGCCACAGACGTTGCGTAAAGTTTATCTACGTTTCTATGTATGTGTGACGACTGTGCTAGGCATTAGCGAACGAGCTTGTCGGTGTTTTCCACTAATAAAAATAACCTCAAAGTAGGAATGGTACTATTGCTCTAAATGATTTGTTATCGATATTAACTCGATTGTTCGATTTGCTTAAATGCGCAAAAGTTAAGACACTAACCAAATATTATTTAGCTAGTTGTTAAATTGACTTGTAATGTTATTCTGTGCGAATTTGTGCGTCATATAACTTTCTGCATAACCGACAGGTTGGTTTTGTTATGTATTTGCACTGTTTGTTCAAATTGTCGAAGAAAAAATTCGGCTCTCGATTTGGTAAAAAATTTAAAAACGCCGTTTGATTTGTATGTCTGGCTTGTTATTTTGTTTTGTGTTCCCTTTTCTTTTTATTCACGATTTTATATATATATATTTTTTTTAACAAATTTGTTTAAAGATACAAACTACTTATAATTAACAACATCGCATACAAATTTAATAAATAAACAATCAATTTTCGTACATTTACAATACAATGCAATACAAAACAAAATACAATTGGCGCAATTAATGCATGTTTTGCCGATCAATAAACTACTATGGAAGCGATTTGTTTCATTCTTGTCTGTGTATGTTTTTTTTATTTTTGGTTTTTTTATTTTTACTTTTTTCATATTACTTAATGCACTGAGAACAGTTTATTATGACGTTTAAGATACAGTTTGCTACGATTTGTCATTTGATTTCGTTTTTCTATTTTATCAATATTATTATTAATGGTATTCAATTTATGTGCTGTAAATTATATTTAGCGATTTGGCGAAGCCCTCCTCCAAAATTTGACGTTCATTTATATAGTATCGGTGTAACGATAAATCTACTGAACCAACAATTTGGTATGCCCTAAAAGACAAGGTTCATGATTTTCTTTTGGACTTTAATAGTTAATCATTGTCTTATTCAAATTTAAATATTAAATGCCTGTTTTGCAGGCATATCCTAAGACTAAACAATAAGCCTTCACTTTCAAAACTTAAAAAGTTCATTTATACTTGATTCATTCCAAATTAGTTTTTCATTTGCTTACAAATGGAAAATTATAGTTTTTAAAAGTTACTCGCCTGATTTGTACAAAACCTATACAAAAATGTTTATTAATTATTATAGTATTATTTTATATTATTTACGGATGTATGTATGTATGTATATAGATTATGTTCATATGAAAGTAAGGATTTTTGCTCTGATTTACAGATTTCGATTGCATTCAAACTATTTTTAAAAGTATACTTTAAGAGTTTTTTGTAAATATAGAAAACAGTTTTCATTTTATAATAATTTTGATAATATAACTACAACAAACTATATCTAACATAAATATATATGTAATGCTTTTAATATTATACATATAAACGTGTATTATAGTTGTCTTAGTTTAGTTAGCATGATATATATGTGTATATACATATATATATGATATTGTATTTTTATTTTTATTATTATTATTTTTTTTTTTAATTTTTATTTTAAACTCTTCTTTTGACATACTGTGTTAAGAGCCGTCTCATTTGTACAAATAACGAAATAATTTCATTTTTATGTTCTAGCGCAAAAATATAGCACTAATATTGATAAAAGAAAATTATATGTATAAAAAAAAATAACAACAAAATTTATCATAACTGAAGTGTTATAGAAAACAAAAATTCTCTATTACAATCATCTTGTCTACCATTACTGAAAAAATTCGTTAATGTGTCACAGCACCACCATTAATTATTATTCTTGTGTTTGCTTCTTGTTTGCTTTTTTTTTTTTTTTTTTTTTGTTGGATTGTTGCTACATGTTAATAAAATTTTTGTAAGGTTGAATTGCATTTGTTATTAGAAAGTTTCGAACGCATAAACTATTGTTGGCAGCCCACCTGCTACCAAAGACGGTGCAAATGAAGATTCCGTGACAATACCGAGCGGACATCGTTGGTGAATCGCAGTGCGTCGAGCATTGGAAGCAAGGAAAGAAGTGCTGTATCCATTGGATCGGAGAACCAACTCTTAATTGGTATTGCATTATTTGGAAAACATCGATATGCGCCAGGTGAATTGTCTATTATAAATATCTGCAAAAGTTAACAAATACATATTTATTAGATATGCTACATAAACACAGAAATAATCATGGTGAGCTGTTGTCAAAATACAAATAGCGTTCAGCTAACCCTATTCAAGTCACTGCATATGGATGACAAGTCTTTGGTATAGGACCCATAGTCGGGCGTGCAGTGTTGTCTATAGTAGCGACGTCGCAGTATATTGCGACCATTGTCAAGTTTGTCCGCTACGGCTGCTCCATATATCTCCATGCTGGCGGTGAATACAACTAGATCGTACCACTGTGACACCTGTAATGAATGAACGATACCCATACGTTAGGCTTCGACATTGACTTGGCTTGAAACGTAAATAATTTAAATAGAATAACTTGGATGGATTATGAACAAACAGTGGTTAATTAATCATTATCTATACCTATATACATATACAATCCAATACCTCAATATGAATATCAATGATTTCAGTAGCACGTCTTTACAGTGAATTAGGTTTACCTACAACTAGATTTCAGGTCTAATGCAAATATACAAAATTAAGACTAAATTTAACTTGCAAGACTACTCACCACATCCAAAAAGTAATCGACATGCGGTCGCTTGTGCACAAAAAACCGAACAGGATGCCTCTCGATGGTCACTTTAACGGTAAAGTCATGCGGCGTGCCAGGCTTAACGGTATTCCGGGGCATAGCATTGTGGTGTGAGTGTATAAGTGTCTCATCCAGATCCAGGACCAAGGTCTTTCGCTGCACCAAGCTGAGTCGATGTCGCGATACGGGCGACAGAGGGAACTGTTCGTATTTAACTGGCTGATACTGGATAAACTAAGAGAGTTAATTTATACATTCAAATATTGTATATTCACAAATGGTTTGTTATTGTTTTTATACACTGAACCCATTTTCAATGGGAAATCAGGGTATAATGGTTTTGTTGAAATGTATGTAACAGACAGAAGGAGGCGTGGCAAACCCCACAAAGTATATATATTCTTGATCAGGACGACGAGCTGAGTCGATTTGGCCCTGTCCGTCTGTCTGTCCGCCCGTCTGCCCGTCTGTCCGTATGTATGAACGCGTTGTTTCAGAAGATATTAGAGCTAGAGACTTCAATTTTTTTTTGTTAAATTTCCGTATATACAGCGCGGATATCGAGTTTATCACAAAAAATCGATAACTCATCCCGTTATTTTCGTTATGATCGATAAAAGCCTTATCGAAAATCAGTTATAAAATTATATCTCCTACATCTTTAAAGCTAGAGTCTCTAAATTTTAAATATATGTATACCCCCACCCCTATATCCACCCCCTCACCAACATATTTGTAAAAGACGTATTTCAAATACTAGAGATTTGTGCTTTGGCAAGTACATGCATATCTATGCTTTAATCATAATCTAAAAGAGCAAGAGTAAGAGTCTGAGAGTAAGCGCACACTTCAGCCGATGCGTGTTTAGGCGTGGGTGCTTGTGTGCGTGTATGTATGTGTGCATACATATGTGTGTATATATGTATATATATGTATATGTGTGTGTAAGCAGAAGGACGCGAACAATGATTGAAATAGCTATTGCTCGAAAGGTTCAGGGGATCTCGTAGTCGAGCTGTCTCGACTAGAGCTTTCTTACATGTTTTTAATATTTCTTTTTATTTATGTATGTATATTATTTGCGCACATTTTTTAGAGGAACGGAACACAAAATAAAGACGTGGAAATGTGAAGCGTCATGCTGCCGCAGCACTAAATGATCATAAAGAGAGTGGAGCAGAGAGAGGTAGACTTGGAAAAAGATCTATGTATGTATACATATGCATGTGAGCGCACATGTGTGTGTGAAAGAGAGCTATATGTAAGTGTCCGGCATGAAAAGACATGATCGACTTGTAGCTCAACGCATTTTGATAAAGGATTATACACGGATCTCAGTCAAATGCACATGAATAAATTAACTCCACTGTAGACGGAGGGTAGGTAGAAAGAAGCGAGGTGTACCGATTGCTTATCGCAGCCTTGACCAGTGGGTGCTTCAGTGTGATAACACAATTCCGCAAAAAAATAATAGCTGTAATTATTGGGCTATTGGGAATATGGGGTATGTGCTTTATACTTTGTTGAAACTCATTCGGTTGTATAATTTTTTTTTTTTTTTTTTTTTTTTTTTTTGTGGTACTTACAGCGCGCACTTGGCGATTGAACATGAAACAAATACATGTCCACACCTTTGATAGTAGCAGCAATAGCGCATGGAATTTCATTTGCACCAACGAAATCATTGGTAAGAAGTTGTCTTCTTACCAAATTGTACAATGGCTCCCAGGTAACTTGCTGTCGAGTTGTCAACGAAACTTTTTTATTTTTTATATTTTCTTGTAGCTTAACCTAGCGTTGGGTTAGCATAACATAAAGGTCCCGCACACACAAAAAAAAAATTAAAGAGGGAAAAGCTTCCAACAATCACGTAAAAAAGAAAAGAAATGCAAAGAAAAACAAAAACAAAAACAACGCGCCGGCTGTTAAGCCACTAAGTTGATATTACTTTTGTGCTTTTGATAACGCGCTTAAATTGTGTTTGTTTGCATTTGTGTTGCGTGTTGTACTTTGCCGTATCGTTATCGGTATCGATATCACAATTATTGCTTCTTGGACACCTTTTCACTCACATACACAAGCGTACAGACAATTGGCAAGAGGCGCGTAGGGACCAAAATCAATATTTAACACAAGCGTGCTTGTGAAAGGACATAAACTATCCTATTATTGTTTATAATTGCTAGCAGCATGTATATGCACACGCGCACACACACAAATTAATGTCGTTACACTTTGCTTATATTCCACTATTTACACTGTCGTTGATTGCTCTACATGTTTCACCACCTCTCTCATTTTCACTGCCGTTGGTGATAGGTCTTCTATTGCTGTCAATATTTTTGTTTTATGTCTTGCCGTTTCTGGCGCTGTTGGCAAATTTCGGTATTATGTTACTCATATATTCATTTAGACAAATATTGTGCCAAAGGAAAATTCACAAAATGCACAAAAAATATTACAATTTTTGTATATATTAATATATATGGCGCGGCAAACTATAATTGCACATATTGAATAATCTGATTCTTGCTTTTTGTTTAATGTATCGTTCACGTATACATGTCAATACACAAACACACACACACACACACTCCCTTAATCAATTTGGCCAAAAGCCAGTCCAAAAAATAAATTGTGAAAATAAAAGACATTTTCGCCGTGAGCGTGGTGTTGCTATCGGTAGTATATCGATATATGCGATGTTGCTTATATTTGCCGGTTAGCAATAATATCGGCTAAGAAATCGCAATAAACGGTCAAAAATTAATACTAGTAACTGTCTATTAATAAAAGAAATGCTAAAAAAGAGTTTGTTGCCAATACATTAGAATTAATTTTCTCCATTTGAATCAATACGGAAATATGTATACATAAATATATATTTTGTTATTAAAGCTGTCGTATATTAAATGATCGCCATGTTGGCTTACGACCATCATGCAAGGTTCGGATAATTTTATATCTATTTCTTAAAGAATTGTACTCTATGAAAATGATGCAATTATTAATAATATAAAATGCGTTAATACAATGAGGAGCATTAATAACTAGAAAACGGGAAGCTGTTGACCACGCGGCATCATGCATAGTCTGAGCGTGTAGCATAACATATACATATCGATAGTCGTAAATCGACCGGCCGCTGTTATCGTTTAAAGCGTCGTTGACGTTCTTTACAATTCGCAAAAGTGGAAAGAAAAAGAAAAATTATGTAGACTTTTTGGCAAAAGTATAATCATTTTTAAAGTTTTGCAAAAACTAAATTTTAGGCTATTTAGTTCCGAGTTTTTCTTGTTGCGTGTACTTAGCAAAACGAATAAACATTTCTATTTCCACTACATATATATATATTATATATGTATATTTATACATATATATAAATATATACATATGTATATATGCGTATGTGCATTTGTGTGAGTGCTTTAATGCGGCGAATGCGAATGTGAAGAAAGCCGCACTCTGCAAACCCGAGGCGTAGACTTTTTTGTTGCTGTTGCTTAAGAGAGTCGGCCACACTCCACATCGACGCGAAAGTGCTAGCGGGAAGTGTGTTAGCGGGGGTATTGAGTTGAATTTTTTTCACGACCCGTTTTATAATAACCGCTAAAATTGTGGAAAAACAAGAGAAAACTCCTAAGCGGAAGAAGAAAGCTGCAGCCAGTAAAATGTCTGCAGTTTATTCGCCGCAACCGCCGCCGTCGCAGCAGCAGCCACCAGCGCAGCATCCGCCGGGATCTGTGCAATTGCCGCCGCCGCAGGCACCGCCACAGCAACAGCAGCAATCACAGCAACAGCAGCAGCAACAACAACAACAGCCGCCTGGCAGTGGACAAGGGCCGCCAGGTGGCGTAGGAGTTGGGCCCATGGGTCCGATGCAGCAACGCGTTGGCCCCGGGTCCGTTGGCAATCCCGTTGGCGGCGTCGGTGTTGGCGTCATGATGGGCACACCACCCAATCCAAATGCACAACGTGGCGGCGTGCCCACTCAGCAAGTCAACTCGGCCCAAATACAGAAGATACTCGACGATAATTGCGGACTCATTCAGGCCATACAGGACTTTCAAAACATGGGGAAGTCGCAGGAGTGCATGAGCTACCATGTGGCTCTGCACAGAAATCTGGTGTACTTAGCCCAGCTAGCCGATCCCCAAATGAACATTGCCCAAATTCTGCCTGTACGTGCAATGTAACTAACTGATTCATAATCTAGATATAATGTCTGATTTTCCACAGCCACCGCATCTGCTGCAAACGCAGGCTATGCAACAGGGCAATCAGCCGCCAGCGCCTCATGGCATGGCGGGTGTGGGTGTGCCACCGCCGGGACAGCAACAGCAGGTGCAAGGGCAGCAGGGCGCACCGGGACCCCCGCCGCCGGGCAGTGTGATCCAGTCACAGATGATGCAGCATGCCGCAGAGGCTGGCGTTGGCCCCGTACAAATGCCGCCCTATCCAGGTCAACAGCCACAGCCAACGCATCCGGGCATGCCACCCAACGCCCAACAGCAATCTCAGCAACAACAACAGCAACAGCAGCAGCAACAACAACAGCAACAACAGCAGCAGCAGCAACAAGCTGGACAAGTTCAGCAGACACCACAAGTCAGCCAGGCTGGCGGACCCCAGCCACAGACTGCCTATCGCAACGTCCAAGCCGGCGCTGGCCAGACGCAGGTCGTGGTCAATGCCGCGCCCAGTAAGTGTAAAGTAGCGTGCAATCAAGCCATAAAACAACCGTCTGTCCGCTATCTGAACGAGGTGGCCAAGTGGAGGTGGATTTTAAATACTATTTGAAATTAGCTGGTATTGATATGGGTAATTTGTAGAATCTCACCCATCATTATAATTTAATTTTTATATTCCTAGACTAAATGTTATCACTAGATATTTTTCTGCCTACATTTCCTATATGTATATCCGCTATAAATAAGAAAGTTTGATCTAGGATAATTTAATATTCTCAAAATGGCCTAAGTCTAATCACACGACTTCTTTCTACTTTCCTTTTTGACAACAAATGATGGAGCTGGGACTTAAATCCAGATCCTAGCTAATTGGGTTGAGCCACTCAATGGTTCTAAAACTGTATTTTTTCAACGTTTCTGACCTCTACATTTGTTTTTCCAGACCAGCAACAGCAGCAGCAGCAGAGGCCTAACAATGGTCCACTGCCGCCTGGCCAGAATCAGGCCCCGCCGCCACAACAGCAGCAACAGCCGCCCAACCAGCAGCAGCAGCCGCAACAGGGACCGGGCTTAGTGCCGCCACCGCAAGCGCAGTATCGGGTCAGCTATCAACAGCAACAGCAGCAGCAGCAGCATGGTCACTATCCGGGCTATCCGCCGCAGTCGCAGCCGCAGTACCAGCCACAGAATACGTATCCATACGGACCCCCCGGCCAGGGCTATGGGCCACCGCCTCCGCCGCCAAATGCTCAGGCTGCGTATCATCATGCGGGCATGCCGCCAACATCGACGGCAGGCGGTGCACAGGGCGTGGTACACGCCTATCAGCCGAATCCGAACGCTGGCGGTGTTACGGCTGGTGGTCAGCAACAGCAAGCACCGCCGCCGGGTGCATATCCGCCACCCCCACCAGGGCAGCAAGTGACGCCAGGGCAGCAACCACCACCGCCACCAGCACAGATGTATGGACCGCCGCCGACGGCTGGCGGACAGGCGGGACCTCCAGGGCCACCCGGCCCGCCGCAAAGTGTGCTGCCCAGTCAGTATGGGCCACCCCCACCGCAGAACGCTGGCGCTGTGGCGCCCGGGCCGCCTCCTATGGGCTACGCGGGCTATCCACCCAATCAGTATGGGCAGACGGGTACGCCCGGCGCACCGCCCGGTAACTATGGACCACCACCCACTAGCCAAGCGCAGTCTCCGTATCAGGCGTACCAGCAGGCTACAGGCGCGCCTCCCGGCAGTTATCCTGGTCAGCCTGTGCCTGGTCCACCGAGCGCCCAGCAGGTCAGCGTGGCGGGCACAAATGCTGGACCGCCACCGCCGCCTGCCAGCTACAGCACGGCGCCCAGCCAGACGCCTCCGCCGCCACAACAGCAACAGTCGGCACCCAATCAGCAGCAACAGCAGCAGGCGGGCAACCCCAACGGCCCCAATACACCGCAGTCGACACCGCCGCCGCCTAGCTCAGTAGCTGGCGTGCCGCCCAACCAGCAAGCACCTGGCGCGGGCGCTGCCCAGCAGCAGCCTCAATACGCTCCGCAGCAGCAGCAGCAACAGCAGGTACGTTTGAATGACAAAATAGCAAGAGAAGACTAGAACGAGCTAATCTGCCTATTTCAGCCGCTACAGCAACAGGGGCAATCTGGTCAGCAGCTAAGCGCTGTGGTTTCTGGTGTTTCGGCGCTGCCTACGCAGCAGCAGTCAACTTACTCAACGCCACCCACTAGTGTGGCTGGCTATGGGGCACCGCAGCAGCAACAACAGCAACAGCAGCAGCAACAACAACAACAACAGCAACAGCAGCAACAACAACAGCAGCAGCAGCAGCAACCACAGGGTGGTCCGCCCCCACAACAGAGCGGTCCGCCGCCTGGGGGCCCACCAAACTCGAGTGCGCCACCTCAGCCGAATGGGGCAACCCCGCCAATGGCACCAAATCAATATCAACCAGCGCCTGGCTCACAGCCGTATGGCGCGCCACCGCCGCCTCCACAGGGCTATGGACCGCCGCCACCTGGCAGTGCTTATCCGGGCCATGGCTACCATCAGACGCCGCAGGCAGGTGGCTATGCACAGTATCCGCCGTCGCAGGGTTACCAGGGCTACAGGCCAGCTCCGGCTGGTGCCCAGATGCCGCCCCCAGGCGCACCACAGGGTCCGCCACCAGCGGGTGCCTATGGTTACTATGGAAGTCAGCCACCACAGTGAGTTAACCACACTCAATGGTACCAACCATTTTTCGATTGGCAGCAATATGGATAACAAAGGATGACAAGACCAGAAATACGCGCCAAGCAATGTTCCTTCTCGCTCTATCGCTACACTCTCCCTGTCTCTCACTCTCTTTCTCTTTCTGTCTCCCTCTGAACCTCTGATGTTCTACAGATATCTCATCGAATGGTACTTGTCTCCTGCTTTTGCGTTAGTTAAATGCGCACGTGCGTGCGGCAGGACTTCTAAAGCATAACGAAAACACTTCTAAACATACATAGGATTACATTACTTTGTACTTGTAGCAATTGTAATAGAGCCAAGCGTCGAGACGCGTCCATTAGGCGTATAACTCTACTACATACATACATATATTTAATTTATACAATTGTCAACTACACCTACATCTATACGATTTAATTACCCTTTTTGTTTTTATTGTGTGTTTGCTCCTTACTATATACATTTTTTTTATACTCTTGAAATACTACCTATATTTTGTGTGCGTGCCTGTGTAAGTGTGTGTAAGTGATTGAGTGAGTTTAAGTGGTTTAACGTTTCATCTTTTATCTGATTGTAAAATGTAGCGCGCGTCACACAACTAAGTAGATTTTTAATACAATTTTACAATATATAATCAATTTACATTCAGCAAATGACAGAAGTATGAGAATAACCATGATTTAAGTAGTATTTAATGATCAAATATTCCATTAACGAAAACAATAACAAAAAATTTAAAACGGACAACGCAGCAAAGCTTTATGTGTGTATGAGTGAGTACGGCTGCTGCTGCTGCTGTTGTTGCCGCTGCTGCTGCTGCTGTCTTGCTCAGGCGCATTGTGGCACACGCACTTTACTCTAGTTGTAATTGTAAGCCGATAAACGATATATGATATATATTACATATGTATATCGTCATCGATAGCATTTACATCATTTGAAATTGTATTTAGGAAACTTCAAATGCTAACAGATAACAAAAACAATTATTTAAAAATACATATAATTGATGAACAAAGCAAAATGCATTCAATAAAAGCAACGAGCTGTCAAATTTGCATTTTTCTTAAGCTGAGGGAAAACTAATATACACATACACACATATATATATATCCCTATACACAAGCTAAATTATTAAAATTGGCTTATTTCCACACTCATGTGAACTGTATTTTAGTCATTTGCGGATTAGCCATATTTTTTTTTTTTGCATTCAGAACTCAGATCAGTTTATAGACATGAACGTGGAGTTTTTTATTTGTGAAACGGCTAAGTATGTAGTTCCTACATAAATAAAATGACTGACGTACTTTGGAATACATTGGTTACAGCTGCTTATCTAGTATTGGCTGCTGCTTACGATCATATTTTGTTTCTCTATCGCTGGGTCTTCATCACTCTCTCTCTCTCTCCCTCCACCCGGTTTATCACATGTGTGCCTGCTTATCACAAGATTCCTTATTTTCGGTCTGATCTAGCTGCTTCTCCTCCTGCTCATTCTCCTTTTCCTTTCCCTTTCCCTTTCCCTTTTCCTTTCCCTTTCCATTCTGTTCATTGTTCTGCTGCTCATTGACAACAGTATTGGTGGATCGCCTGCTGAACCGAGTGGTCAGTTTGTGCACGACCTTGCGCAATAGGTTGCGCGGTATGGTCGTCTGGCGTTCCACAATGATCAGCTTGGTGGCGACGCTGTGTATGGGCCCAAAGGCCAGCGCCACCACGGTGCATGCCAGGCAGATGACATTGTAGGGCATGCTGAAGTCGGGCGTGGGCAGGGACACAATGAGCGCCTCAGTGCGCAAGGTCAGCGTGTATGCGGTTTGCGATGCATTGAACGAGTCCTGGAACAGATACCCCTCCAGCGGCAGAGCCGTGTAGTTGCGTCCTATGGGCAGCTGACTACCAATGACGGCAGATCCAATATAGTGTCCGTGATTTGCATCCGGCGGATACTCAAGCCACTTGAGCAGCAGATAGTCAACCTCAATGGTTATAAGAGCGCTGCTCCTGGCGGGCAGCATAAACCCAATCTCCAAGTGAGTGGGCAGCTCACGCTGCTTGCCGGGCGCATAGTGCAGCAGGCTAAACTTCAACTCGTTGGAGGTGTACTCGTGCAGGTGCTGTGGCTTGCTGGAGATGCGCAAGGTGTGTAAGTAGGCGTGGACGTACCAGGGCACCAGCTCCATGAGCACCACGGGTAGTGGCTCGTAATGTGTGTTGGTCACTTCGGTGGCAATGCGTCCGTGCTTCTGACCATTGCCCAGTAGGTAGCGATGCGCATAGAGCGGTGGCGGCGAAGTGTGCTCCCTCTTGCTATTGCCCTTGGGACCAATCCATGCTATGTTGAAGAGTCGGGCACCTGGTCCTTCGAACTGCTGCTGTATGTCGTAGACGCCAAAGAGGACGTTGTGGCCACCGACTGTACTAAGAACCTCTTCCAGTGGAGTTGGAGTCAGTTGAAAGCGCTCACCCTGCTCGTTGAGCTGCACGTAGATCTTACTGCTGCTGGCCATCTCGCAGTAGCCGTTCAAGCCCATGCCGAAGAGGCGACGCAGCGAGAAGTCCGTGTTGCTCTGCTCCAACAGCTTCAGGTCATAGACTAGATTTGCCGTCTGTGTGAGCTCCACTAAACAATTGCTTGGGTCGTCGCTATCGCACAATGTCCGCACCTTGACGCCTAGGGAATGGTATTTGGTATTGTGGATATAGCCCGAGTTTAGCAGTGTAGCCAGGCCCGATGCGCTGCCGCAGGGCAAAAGCTTCTTCCAGGGCGTCAGGTTCTCAGTGCAGACAATTTCCCGGGGCAACGTGGCATAGCGTACGAATTGATGACTCCGGTTGCCTGACGCCATGAACTGTGGACGGAATATGTGCTTGGGTGCAATGCTATTGGTGTTATCGACAAAGTTGAGCGAGGCACAGAGTATTCCAGAGAAGACGTTTGCCAAGCGCATCCACTGCTTGTTCACACTGTCGTCGGTCAAATTCGGTGAGCTGAACCAGGCCCACAGCTCGGCACCACCGGTCGCCTCTACAATGGGATAGCCCCAGGTCTCGTAGCGCCACAGTCCCTGTGTTAGCCCTATGTGCAGTTCCTTCACATCGTATGTTTGCAGTATTTCGGCTATGACGCGCGGTGTCAGCTGTGTGTGATAAACTAACGGACAGCAGTGGTTCAATGTGATCGTGGGTGCTTGCTGCGTTGCAGCAGTGGGCTATGTTACTTACGATTCTTGTGAACACCGTAATGCCAGCGTGTGGTGAATTGAAAGTATGTGTTTACATGGTCGCTGGCTAGGGGCCGAACCACCAGTTCCTCATGAAATTGTTCATCGGTTTGGTACTGGAATTGATGGATCTGAGTCTGACCCAAAGCTAGCGGCGAAAGCAGTAGCAGCAACGTTAATGCCAATTCAGCGATCATTTAGAAGCAGCAGCAATAAATGCTCATTGATACTAATAAGTATATTACAAATTAAAAAGGGATGTTGATATGCTATCGATATATGAATAATTTTCATCTGGTATTTATTTTGTTTGGTCAGTGTTTCAGATCTTTCATTTTCCCAAATACAGTATTTTATAAATAGTTTATCTATCATTATTTGCTAGTATAATACTATCGATATTTATTGACAACATATTTAATGCTTCGATTTCCATTTTTCTATCGGCGATCTTTAAATGAAAATCAACATTTTAAATCAATAAATTAAAAGTAACTTAATAAATATAAGTAAATTGTACAGAATATACAGCAAAATCTCAATTTTTAGTTTGAATCTTGCGAGTTTTTATTATTAAAAAATAACAGTTCGACTAATATACAAAATGTCGATTATATCGATGTTATCCCCATAAATAAATCGCTGGCAGCCCTTACAGTTACAATTAAAATGCGGGCACATTGACAATATTAACTTAATTACTAAATATGAAGTGTTGCAAAAAACACCAAAAGAGCAATAAAAACACATTTATCTGTTGAATTTAAGGAAAATTTATTTATAAAAATGATTTTGATTGCATTGTGCTCCGCATGCAACTAAGAAACTTACAATGTATATTATATACATATGTATATTACTTCAGACACGTGGTATATGTCAGTTATTTGGCAACAGCTTCTGCTTCTACGCATATATAAATTCAAGTAGTTTATGCAATTTCCAGATAAAGTACCACCAACTTTGAAGAAGTATATTTCGGAACCAGCAATTTCATTTCTATTTTCGCTTCTCACTGAGAATATTAAGATTATATAATATTAGTAGTTTGGGCATGTTTGTAATATACATTCAAATCGATTTTAGCGCGCAAGTTTTTTGGTCTTATCGAACTAGTCGCAGTGTGACCGTTCGAACCATTTATCGTGTTACGTTGGGGCACACTGCTCACTGAATTCTGTTAGTTGTTAGAGAGCCGAGCGACTGTGAAGACGTACGTGTGTGCTCCTACAGTGCTCTCAGAATTTATTTTTGGTAATTTTTACTTCTGGTTTAAATTAATAAGTATTTCAAACAACTAAATCACGATAATAAAATAAATTAACGCCGTAATAATTAATTATTAATAAATAAACAAGTAGTTTAACGTATTATTTTTAAAACCAAAAACAAATTTATGCAAATTTCAGGCAGTTTTTTTTCTACTGGCAGAGCAGCAAGCAAAAATATAATTTTGAGAAATTTAATAACAAAATGCAATCAAACGTTGCTGCGCATACACTGCAGCAGCTACACAAACAACATTAAAATGCTTCTTTTGTTATTAAACGTAATATTAAATCCATGAAACGCATTAAAAACATAAAAATATATATAATTTTATATATGTTTGATTCGGCAAACACATTTATGTGTACATTGTATATATGTATATGCATTTACATATATTAACATACATGGGAGCGATTTATAAACATTTGAATATTTACGTTAAAAATTCACTATTTTTGCCTTTTTAATTGTCACGAATATGAACAACTCTATATCTACGAAAGAGAAAAAGCGTTAGCGTTTCTTTTGTTCAATTGAAAAAGAAATTGAAATTCGCGGAAGACGACACGACGACGGTGAAGAAAGATTTTTACTCGCGTCGCGGTATACTTCAACTGTTTTTGAACTTTTATTGCGTTGCTGCTGAGCAAGAGCGCCAACTACAAAAGTCGCTGCTCAGCGGCCAACAACAACAAGTCGCTACAACCGAAAGTAAAATACAACGAAACAAAAATATGTGTACGAGAATGTAGTGCTGAGAGAGAGAGAGAGAGACCGAGAAAGGCCAGGCGAGTATAAGAAGAGCATGCGCCTTATGTGCTCAAATGTTGCCCTTGCCTACCGATGTAGGAATGTATGCGTGTTTGTATATATATGTGTGTGTGAGTGTACTTCTGTGTCGCGTCATTTTCGCCTTCGCTTCGTTTACTGTGCGCGTATTCCGTTTATTCGCGTCGCCGTAAACTCACACACTGATTTTTGTCATTTGCCATTGTGTTCTCTACGAGTCGCCGTTGTAGCTGCTGCTTTGTGGTTGGCATTCGTTGTCAGCAAACAGATTGCTTGTCGTTTTGCCAGTAGACAAAATATTTTAACTAGCACACTACTGTCAATAGACTAGACTATTGCCGCATAAATTTTAATGCATATTTTCTTAATTATATCAATTTAGCAAGAGCGAAAAAGTTCTTGCGAAATATACAGACAATTGCAGACACATTCATATATACGCACAGTCATTTGCAGATTATATATATGTATATATACACATATTGTATGAATATATATATATATAGTTAATATACAGCGTTAGTCACACTTATTCTATGGAAGATTAAATGTATGTATGTAAGAATCGATGTCTTTAAACACGCACATATAAACAAAGCGAAAAGTGTACAAATACAAAAGTAACGGAAAATTCGTAAACGACATTCTTTGCTCGCTTTGTGGTCGGCATTGTCGGCCAAGCAATCGCAGTGGAGCAAGCGAGAAGGCAAAACATCAGCCGCAAAGCTGTTCGCGGGGCAGCATTAGCCATGAGCTTTTGAGTGTCGCTCAAATAAAAGAGTAGCTAAGCAAGCACATTACAAACGACGCCACCTACTCAAAGAAAAAAGGTGATTTTTTTTGTTCAATTTGTTTTATTTCCTTCTTTTGATTTTCGTTTTAGTTTTCGCTAGTTGTAACTCCTTTGTAGGCTAACAAATTTGTAAATTAGATTGTAAGTTTAGTAACCGAAAAGTCAGCACCACCGACAGCAGCACCCACAAGCGCCTTGACAAACAAAATAACCATAAGAAAGAAAGTAAAACCTTATAAATATACAATTACAATATGATAAACAAAAATTTGTAGTTTAAAAAAAAAAAAAACGAAAAAAAAAACACTATATATATATATATATATATTTATATATATGTATATATAAATAATAAACTCAAGTTAAATAAACGTAATTTTCATTGCCTTCAACAAACGAAAAAAATTTACACTTTTTCTTCGCTTTTTCGCTCTCTCTCTCTCTCTGTCTCTCCATATACTTCCTCTCGTTAGCAGCTTGTGGCCGTCATAGGCTTCTGATTTCATAACTAGTTTGTGGCTGACAATCATCATATGAGTAAAAGATGTACATATAAATATCCAAATAGATTTCGGCTAGTCTTATCTGGTTGCACCAATCTGTTGCTAAAAATCAATGCAATAAATGTGGCTCAGTCCACAAATAAAATTCAGGGTAAAGTAAAATGCATAAGAATCTAAATGCGCCATTCATTACGCGTCCCAGTTTGAAATGCGAGAGCATTTACGCTCTTTTGTCGCTTTGTAGTTCGTGCACAGCAGTCACTTTCGTTCAATCAGAAAACTCTCTCACTGCCAGCGTTGCCACACGTGTGCCGCCCAGTTTGTCTTCGCTCTTAACACACATCACAAGCTTACATGCTTGTATGTGTGTGCATGAAAATGTCATTTCCTGTTCGTCAGTCCTTAAGTAGGCGACACATTTGTTACCCTTGGGGAATTTCAAACGGCAAATTTGTGGCAGTGAGTATTTTATGAACTACACACAAATGATTCAGATGACTGTAGTGAGAATGAGAGAGTGATGAACAGTTGGCCATCCACAGTGGATTCTCTTGGGTTTGTGTGCTTGTGGATTTCTTTTTATTGGGTCGGATATTTTTTCTTTAGGTTCTGTCAAGGGCATTCAACCTACTACAGCTGTGTGGAACACAACGCAATTATTTTACGCAATTCATCCTTTCGCTCGCTAGATGACGTCAGACCGACAATTCGCCTGCGTGTCCGCTGGTCTAACGGTTGTACGCCCAAGAGCGCACTGGCTATTTTTAAAAGAACCCCAGTTACGGTGCGTTTAGCATTTGTATCTGCCTACGTATGCGTATGCCTCGCTGTTGTCATCGCCGCATTCGCATTCCTCAAATAATTTCGTATTTTATAATGGGAGGGGGGATAAAATAGCCAAACGCTGTATACAGCAGAGCACATCGTATTGTCGCGCGCACGCATACATTCATACGCGCACGTATATCTGCAGAGACAGAGGCAAACAGACATTTGTGCGGCTATGCTATGCTCTTGCTCTGCCACCACCAGTCACCTTGTTGACCCAGCTAATTTTCGTTGGGCCCTCTGCCGCGTTTTCGAGCTAAACGCTCGGTCCCGCGCTGGCGGCAGACTGAACGTTTTCATACATTCGAAATTTCAACGAACTTCGGTTTGTGGCCGTCAGCCATCGCTGCCGCTGTCGTTGACGCTCTGTGTGAATTCGCCGCAGCTCTCTTTTGTAGCTTTGTAGCCCGCAGATGGAAGCGATACCAGAAAACACATTTTGCCGCAATTCGCTCATTTTAATGCTTCTTCTTATTTTTTTTTTTTTTTGTATCGTAGCCTTTGTTGTTCATTACAAAAGAAGTCGCCTGCAGCATTTGGTCTTGTTCTATTTCAAATTTGTTTATGTTCATTTGATGCAATTATGTTAGGTACCTGCAATGTGAAAATTGCAGCTGACATACATACGATTTTCACATAGCAAATCTGTGTTTATTTGAGAGTGTGAGTTTGCTTCCGTTATTTATGCATATATATGTAAGTATGTATATACATACATATATGAAAGTATGTATGTATAAATATGTATGCATATGCGTCAATTTTCATAGTGATGTAATAGTTAGGTGCGGCTGCGACATTTTCGGTTTGTTTTCTATTTGTGTTGATATTCATACTCTTCAAACGAGGTCATATATGTATATACATATGTATGTACGTACCTATCTACTTACATGAATACATACATACATATGTATAAAATTATTTACGAAGGTTCATAGAAATCGAAGACAATTTTACAAAAGCCATACACACACAATCTTTCAACATGCCTGCAAACCATTTGCTAAAATTACCACCTGTCATCGCTGTAGCAGAGATTATCGTTCTCTGTTTTCTTACTGTATTACTCCCTTCAATTATGCCCATCTCTTATCAGCATACATACATACATATGTATGTATGTATGTTGTTTGTTTGTCCGTACACGTGTAAATGTAACTTCCGCCTTATAAATTTAAATATAAATTGGACTGCCCGCATAATGCATGTACATACATACACACATACATACAAACGCCTATGTTATGACTGGTTTGTTTGTCATAGCCACACTTATCGCTAATTTGTTTGAGTATGTATGATATGGCAATATTAATAAAGAATGAAATATCTTCATATACTAACAGTGCACATGTGTATGTGTGTATGTATGTACATATATGTAATAGGCCGTTTCGATGTTTTGGCTTATCAGCATATCCATGTAGATTTGTATAAGTGCACATATGTATGTATGTGTAAATATGTACATATGTCAATTTCTATAAATTTGTCCTAAAAAGTTTCTTTGTAAATTGACCTCCACTGAAAAAATGTCAGTTCACATTATGCAAATATTTATCTTACATATAGACATCAATGTAACATACATAGTATTACAATACATGTTATGTGCGTATGTTATGTATGTATGTACGGACTTGAAATATTTGAACTAGATCATCGAATGCGACGTCAGAGTTACACATAAACCCATACACGCACGTACAGACACATTGACACATGGACAATCATGATGATGAGTGCGTGAGAGCGGAAACATCGATCGATGGGCCTGTTATGCTTGTCAAGTTGTTCAATTATGTACCTGCCACAGAGAGTAAGCAAATACGATAGAGAAGATAGCGGACTTTATGCTTGCGCTTCTGCCCGCAAATTCAATTGATTTACGAGTTTATTCGGCAGCATCGGCTGTTACAGCTGTTAATAAACTGGAATTTGTCCTCATTATTTGTATACAAATTTTTTTTTTGAGCGATCGGGGAGGAGGAACTAATTGTGTCAGTGAGAGTGTGGAGCGATGTATAGCGCGTCTTATCGGTTGCAAATGTTGTTAAATGTATACATACATATGTATACATACATATGTATACATACATACACATACATACATACACATACATACATATGTACATACATACATATTCTATAGCTTATTTGTACGCAGCTAAATATCCAATTTCTGATTTGAAACTTATGAAATATTAATATTCAATGTACATATGTATGTATGTGTATGGCTGTTTGTTGTGTGCTTGAATGAAGATATGAGCTGCATTGCATTGTGATTTCTTTCGTTGCTCATGCCGCATCGTCATCATTATGAATGTCTTTTTAAGGATCATACTTTTATCTACTGAAGTCTATATAGAACTCGACATCTAAGACCAAGACATTTAACTATAGTCTTACAATTATAATTTGCCAGTGCTGTGCAATATATGTATGTATATGGGGATGTACATATGTATGTAAAAATACGCATATATACATATGTACATATTATTTGGTTACTATCAATAACGAACGGAATATGCGTGGACGGCAGCGTGTGTGATGGAAATAGAGAGGGAGAGGGTAAAAGTTTGAAGAGATTTAGGCAAGCAGCGAGAAGTAAGAAACGAATGTCAATGCTAAGAGATGTTTGCAGTCGACAACGGCAGGTTAGCATCGCGTACGCGTGCGTCGACAGCTAGCTGTGTCGTCGTTATGTGCGTCGACGTAAACATAACCTATGTATATTGCAAATGCATGTACATACATATGTGAATATATGACGGCATATTTACTACGTGTATGTACGTACATGCATATGTACATTTATAGATGCAAACATACATACATATGAAACAAGCGGAAAATACGAATTCATTGATTTCGACTTTTACTTTCTGTTAAGCTCGTCTTCGTATCTCTCTCTCTCTATCTATCTATCTATCTCTCTCTTTCACTCTCTCTCTCTCTCTCTCTCTCTCTCTTCACTCCTCTCTCTCTCTCTCTCTCTCTCTCAGCTGTTTATGCCCTCATTGTTGCCGCTTTCTTTGTTGTGCTCATGTTGTCTATCGACTGCGTGTGTGTGTCTGTGTTTATATACAGATATATGTATGCATGTATGTGTGGAACATATGTACGTATGCTTTAAGCGCGCTATCTTTTGCCCATTAGTCCACCTTTATTTTAGGAGAATATATGCATAAATATACATATATATACATATGTCTACATACATATTGAATATTTTCAGTTACAGTTTTTGTTTGAAGTGTTATTTACCGCTGCTTACACGGAAGTGTGTCATGCCCATTGAGTCAATAGAATAGGGACAGAGGCAACCGCTGTAGCTGCGCTCGGACATACATATGTATGTATGTAAACGTACATATCGATGTACATACGTACATATGTATGTATGTAAGTGCTATCACAGTTGGCACGCCTCCAAGCTGTAAGCTGTGACTTGCCAGTCACATGTGATATTCTTATTGATATTGCTGCAAATAGCTTTTTGAGCACAACTACATTAATTAACGTGATGTTAGACTTGTCCTGTTATACATACATACATATATGTACATATGTATCGACATACGTACTAATGTGTGAAATGATTTTTGCGTCGAGTCTTATAACAGTTTTATTGTAAGAAAATGTACACACTAAATTATTTACATACATATGTATATTCTTTTTGCAAAGTACATACATACATACTGAATGAATGCTTAGTCCAAGCTAACTAAGGGTTACCGGCGTCTAAAATATTTCCGTGAGTCTCTTTTGCGCTCTGCGTTGTCTGCATTTGCCATAAATGGGAATATATGTGTGTGTATGTATATATTGGTCGTCAGCCAGACAGCGTCTGCCGCCTCGATAAAGTGGGTATATCCCCACTTGGACCTTTTTTGCTGAGTCTATATTATTTTCATTATCCTACCAACAAAATACAAAATTTCAACTAAGCCCGTTTGTCTGGCGGCCTCTATTGGTCCTTCACATAACGGTTAATCAATTTACATCGACAGCTGTGAGTCTGGATGTTGTTGTTGCTGCTGCCTCCGCTGTTATATGGGCACCCGAAAATGCCAACGACTTGGAGTTTGTTCTCTCAGCATCTCTCTTTATGCGGTTCATTGACATCTTTGAACTGAATAAGGGCGATGCTGACATTTGGGGTTGCGTTTTGCGTTTTGCCTTTGTTTAGGGACGGGATCTTAAGTGTTTTTTTTTTTTTTAATCCTTTTTTGACATCTTTTTAATACTCATTCACGAAAGTGAAATGAGTATATTGGTTTTGTGCATGTCTGTCTTGCTGTCCGTGTAAACGTAATTCTCTCGGCGAAGTTAAAGAGCTAGAAAGCTAAAATCTGGAATGTAGATCCGCGTCGACCACCCCAGATCAAAAAGCTATGGTGGATATATCTACGCCCATTGTCGAAAATCGGAAAAAATTGCATTTTCTACAGTATTAGACTTAGAGCGTTCTTACGTTGCAGTCGGGTGTTACCAATTGCCATTCTCATTCAGATCCCATCAGCAATCTAGAAGCTAAGTTTTGAGCTTCTATCTTGTATTATACATATAAATCTGTATTATCCGTTCAAATAAAGCGCATGTCAGCGAACATTTTTCAACACTGACATCTACTTGCATGCACAACAATAGTTATTCCACATCAAGCAATTAAAATCGGAAGCGTTCTTTCATACATCCGGTCAAAAATACATACTTTCGTGTGAATGTGAACTTCTTTACTGTTTATATTAACCCGATAATTGTATTTTTCGATAAGCCAAGCTTAACCTTTTACTATGGTCCGGCGCCCATTATGCTTCACAGTACATTTCCAGCAAAACAATTTGTATCGCTGGTCTACTTTGGAGTATGTGTGTATATCTGTTATACATATATGCTGTTTGTGTGCATGTGTGTATGGACGTAAGCAATCTGGATCGTGTTCGTCCAAGGCGACGAAAGCTGAACTTAAAATAAAAAATCACACATTGTCAATTCTGATTAAACTACTAAAGTTGCGACTTTTCATTTAAATATATAGAATTACTATAAATATTCCGTTTGCTTACTGGTACTGATAAATATATGTACAGTTATTATAATATTAGGTCCATTGTGTGGCAATACTCTATAATTATGTTTATCTTATTGTTTATTTTTCTAGGCTCCTTGGTCGAGATTTCCAACAAAAACTAATTAAGGACTATTAAGAGGTAAGTGGCAGCTAAAGTTAGCATATCGATAACAAGTTGAGATAACAAAATGATCGAGTTATGGTCAAGTACACACACAAACATACATTAACTCATACATACATATGTGCAGATGTATATACATATGTATGTTTGTATATTTGGTGGATGTCGTGTGTGTCCGATTGCGAACAGTGAGTAATAGTAGCTGCCGATGACGCACTTAGACGATAGTTAAATCCGAATAGCCGGCATCAAGATGCCGGTCTCACTCTCTCAGAGACTCTTCCCCATATCTATGCAGCGCATGCATGCACGTATATATGTGTGTATGTGTGTGCACAGATATTTGTGGGTGTATACATATGCACGTTGCACACATGTATATACATTGCATATGTTAAACCGGTTGGCAATTCGGCTGCTAACATTTTTGCTCTCTCTGCTTCTCTCTTTCCCAAGTGCAGTTAGTGGTGTGCTGCAAATGCAGATGCTGTCATCTTGCTTGTTTGAGAAAATTAAATTTTTAGCTATCGCAACAGAGAAAATCAGCTGTTGGTTGAAGAGCTGTCGGTCGGTCTTGATTTAAAGTAAATATAAATCCTTATTTACATATATGAGCTGTAAACTGTAGTATTAAAGAAAGCTTTTACAAAGCTGCCAACTTCCACATACATACATGCTTTTATACAAGTATATGAATACACATCTACACTCCTGCACAGATTTGTATGCATGTATGCCAATTTGCATCAACGTTCGGCAACTGTCAGCTGACATAACTTTATTATTGGCCAGCTGCAGCTGATGGCTCTGCAGGCGGGCGAACTGCGTTATCGATGGTTTCCTACACCCACAAATAAAACCCACGTCACACACCCACACGCTCCCATAGGCACATGCACAAGCACGGGCACAGACTTGTACGCATTTTTAAGCTCGATTGAGCGATGTATCCTGCATTTTGCAATAATTTGTATTCATATGTGCGTATGTATTTATGCACGTACATGTGAATGTAGACACGTGTTTTCCATCTGCTCACGCCTTGACATCTTTAAATATCAATTTGATTATGTAAATTATGTGCGCTAGTTCTTATAAGCTTACATTGAAGTGTGTGGCGAAAGAGCAAGATGCGTCAAATGTATTTAATCAATAAATTGCATGCACACATTCACATATGCGTACTTACGTATATATATAAATAAATAAATGTGTATATATATATATACACATATTTATGTATGTTCGTATGACTGTTGCTGTGTGTTGATGGTTATTGCTGATGTTATAAATTCGGTCAGCTTGCTTAGTCACACACAGGCACACCAAATTGGGTCAAGCTGTGGAGCTTAACAGCCTCTGTTAATGGATACGAATGCTGTAAGCCCACTACATTTAGGCCACTGTTATATTGCGTGCATATGTACATATATACATATGCAAATGTTTTATACATACGTACATAAGTATCTATATATGTACGTGTGCATGTACTTATGTACGTACGTATGTATGTAGTTAAGTACATATTTACACATGTACGTATTGGCAAGCTTTTGATACTGGCACCTGTTGTGTATTGTTGCTGTCAGGCACCCGCTAGTCTACGAACAGGTTTGTTTACGCAAGACAGCCGCACAGTTCACACATACATGTGCATATTCACCAAACAATTGTAAGTATTCCTATGCATACTTACGCACCAGAGCCTAAGCTTTTCGTTTCAATTCCAATGCGTTCTTATTGCAGTTATTCATTCAAACAATTGTTACAAACATTAAAAGCGGGAGCCAGACATTGGTATTCATGACGCACTTAAAGCGTAACTGATGATGAAATGTTTATGAATCATTCAGTTCCAGAAAAGATACTGGCCTGAAGCATCGATGCATTGAAACTTGTACACTGTCTCAGCGTCTTACATTTGTCCACAGGAAAAAAAAAAACAACATATGTACATATGTACATACATAAGTGTTTGAGAAGAACAACGTGCAGCGGCTCACGCGTAATTTTATTCTTGTTCTTCGTTGCGCTTTGCGATGTAGTAGTAAACGTTCTGATTATATGCATGCATACATACATATGTAAATACACACATAAATATGTATTTAACATACAAACATATGAACATTTGTATGTGCATATGAAATATACGCGATATTATTTCCGGCCGACGATAATTGTGATGTCATTATATGTACATATGTATGTATATAGTATACAGTATTGTTTGTATGTATATATGTATGTATGTATGCATAGTCGCAAGCTTTACAATTTGAACTCAATCTAATGCACACAGACATATTGGCATACATACATACATACATATGTAAATGTAGTAATGTACATAAGCTATGCAACGAAGTCTCTCTCTCTCTCTGTGCTACACATTTAGGCTTTTTGAAATAGCATAGAAGCCAAATGATAAGCGTAGCAGCGTGGAGGCCGCGACCATGTGTTTTTTTTCGAGAGCGAGAGAGAGTGAAGAGTGCAGAGAGTATAGCAAATGGCAATACCTAGAGAGCGTGAATATTTATTTTCGTATGTTTTGAAGCATTGCACAGTGCTTGGAATATGTGGGTGAGTAGGTGGAATACAAAATTAATATCTGGAAAGATCTTCAAAAAAAACGCTTCGTGGACAAAATGTAGCCATGGAAAAAATTTATATAACAAGAGCAATCCAGATTATTCCTAGACATTCTGCCACGCCTGCTTCTACCTATTACATACTTTTCATAAATCCATTATACCCATATTTCCCCATTTTCAATGGGTTCAGGGTATGAAAAAACAGTTGCAGTGTGCACACACCAACGCAAACTATCAAGTGGTGTGTGCACCAGTCAATGTAAATATGTATATACATATGTATGTATGTATGTTAATCGTTTGCTCGTTTGGTAATGTTCTAATTTAACTTTTTCATATTTTTGCCAAGGATGTATATATGTATGTACATATACATATGTACAGCTTTTAAAGTTTAAGGTATGCTTAAGGAGAAATCAAAGCTGCTTTTCTTAAACCAAACTCTGTGTACTTTAGTCCAATGTTTGTATGTACACTCATGGTCAAATTAATAGGTGTGACCCAAAGATTCTAGCATATTTTAGAATAATTACGGTTTGACAACATCTATCAGCACGAAATTTTTTTTGGTAGGTATGTCCACACTATTTAAAAAGGAAATAGGTAAATCCCCCAAAAAAATTTACTCGCTAAAAAGTTTTGGCTGTTATACATTCTCTACCTCAAAATCGACCTGGACACATTAATAGGTGTGTTTAACTAAACAAAAAATTATTAAAATATTAAAGTGTTTTTGAGTAAGCAAAGGTAGTATTTTTATTGAATATAATTTGATTGAAGCATCAACATTTTCATTTGCAACATTTAAATAAAATTAGATGGGTCGTGGAGTTCACTGCAGTGCTGAAGAGAGAAATCTCGTTCTCAAGCTTCGTGAAGAGGGTAAAACTTATACATGCATTGCCTTACTAATGGGACGATTAGAGAACTTCGTTACAAATGCTCTAGCACCAAAAAAAGATAAAAGGAAGCCGGGTGCCCGGAGGAAAACTTCCGTAAGAGAGGATTCCCGGATAGTCACCTTGGCTAAAAGGGACCCTTTTAAGTCTTCGAGAGCGATTGCCATCGAAATGGGCAATGTTGTATCGGCACGAACTATTCGTCGACGGCTATTAAGCTCGAATCTACCTGGGAGAGTTGCTCGCAGGGTTCCTCTATTGCGTAAATCAAATATTCGGATGAGGCTTAATTTTGCTCAAACTCACAAGGCCAGGTGTGGTTTAGAGGGGGAGCGTAAATGGAGAAAAATTCTCTGGAGTGATGAAACCAAAATACAATTTATTTGAGAATGACTCAAATATAAATATTCGAAGACCTATAGGCAAAGAATTGGATCCTAGATATAAAAAAAAAGACGGTTAAGCACGGAGGAGGCGGCATAATGGTTTGGGACTGCTTTTCATAGCATGGTTTTGAATTGGACCATCGACCATTTTCATAATGGACAGATTCCTGTAAAAGGAACTTTTGAGTAGTGCTATGCTGCCACATGCCCACGACAACATACCTCTAAAATAGAAATTCCAACAGGATAACCATCCTAAATAGGACTCCCCAGTAGTTAAGGATTGGTTTCATGAAAATATAATTGAAGTTTATGAGTGGCCAAGTCAGTCTCCAGATCTCAATCCAATTGAGAACCTTTGGGGACACCTGAAAAGGCAAATTTCCAAGACTACCTGCTTCAATTACACCCAATTATTTGAAAATACTCAGGAGGAATGGAGCACCGATCCTGTGGAAAGGTGTAGAAAGTTAATATTCTCTATGCCCCAAAGAATCAGCAAAGTCATTGCGAATAAAAGCGGATATACAGGGTATTAACCATACTTATCTAAATATATTCTAAATATTCTACAATATTTCAGAATTTTTAATTTTTTTTTTTAATTTGCTGGGCACACCTATTAATCTGGCCAGCAAAAATTTGAGTTTTTTGTGAAGTATGCCAAAATTATACTAAAAATTATTATTTTTTAAACTTGTTTTTTGTTGTTGTTATTCTATGATGTGTCTATTTTTTAATATAAGTTGAATTTTTTAGTTTCATGAAAAAATATAGACGTTATTCCCATTTAAAAAAAAAAAAAATTTCACACCTATTAATTTGACCATGAGTGTATGTACATGCATATGCATGTATGTATGTATGTTTGACGATTTGGTCTCTTTCATTAAATAAAGCCACATAAAATATGTACATGCATTTGTACATACATATATATGTATGTATGCATGTCATGCCATATTGGACAAATGAGTAGACGGACCATTCATAGACGAGTGACAAACATTGATTTACCCACAGACGTATACAAACACTTGTCCTCAGACTGTATATTAAATGGAAGAGTAAAATCTCCCTCGGATAACAGCCAGGGCTTTATGCAGAAATCGATTGATTTTGTATAATGACTTTATTTTATTTTATTTTTTTTTTTCAATTTGGCAACAGCGATCTTTTTGATATATGCATGTACATACATACATATACATATATGTAGTATGTAGTATTGTATCAGCGTGCAGCAAAACACATGAATGGATGTGTGTAAGTGTGTATTGCTGTTGCCATTGCTAGAAAACAGTTGTCATTTGGCCTTGAACCTGAAATTCGAAGTTCAGCAATGTTTTTTTGTGCGCGATTTGCTTTGCCTTTTGTAGCATTTGCACATACACATATGCACATACATAAGTATGTAGATACAGACATATGCATACGTGTGTATGTACACATGTATTCACATATGTATGTTTGTTTGTAGTGGGTTTGCAGTGCGTTGACTGGCAATTTACGTTTAGCGCATTTGTTGTTAATTTAATTGTTTGACGAATAAAAATTATTACCCTTGTGGTATTAACACGTAGTGACATGTTTGAACAAACAATTGCTGCTCAAGTTTGCTACTTTAGCCACATCCAATGGAAATGTTGTTTGTGACTTCGTTAAATTTTGGGCTCAGGTGTAATATATTTGTATGTATACGAGGTATGCACATTCATACATTCTCATGTATGTGAATGTTAACTTATAGGGTCTAACAGCTTTTATATTTGAATGATAATGGAGCAGTGAACGCGGAGGACTCTGACGACACTAATTATTTAATATATGTACATATGTACTTGTTAATATTCATGATTGCAATATACACACTTACATAGACATATAGTGATGTTGCTATCCCATATATCTCTGAAAAGTGGGTGTACATATATGCATATGTAGAGATGAGGATATGTCATAGCCGGTCGCCTGGGCTTCAGCAAAAATAGTTGCTCGTTTTCTGGGTTAATGAACTAACGTTCTTATGTACACACATACATATGTTCATGCATATGTGTATATATATATGCATATCCATAAATACATATACACTTACACAAATATCTAGGGGTCATTCCCATCCGAAGACTTTCGTTTTGCGCCATTTCTTCAGTCTTCAATTTTATTTAACTTTTGTTCTTTCGAGTGGTCGAATAATAAAAACAAAATACAAAAGCTAATTTTTCCAAGCCGAATAGTAAATGGGCTACAAAGGCGACCTACGTCGAATATTTTCTATAAAACTTAGTTTCCGTAATTAATTATAATAGAAAATACATTACATATGTATGTATATGTAAGTAGTACGATATTGTATACTAATCAAAGGCTTGTAATATTCGTAATACGCCCACTCTTAATTCAGGTACTCAATTGAAAGTATTGTATGAACAAAGTGATATACTGATTACAAGGGTATACAAATGAATGCAACAATTGTCAATGGCTGCCCTTTTTATGCCCTGAACTGAACCCATTGAAATGGGAAATCAGGGTATAATGGTTTTGTTGAAATGTATGTAACAGACGGAAGCAGGCGTGCCAGACCCCACAAAGTATATACATTATTGATCAGGGCGACGAATTGAGCCCATTTAGCCCTGTGCGTCCGTCCGTATGTATGAACGCGTCGATCTCAGAAGATATAGGCTTAAAATACATATGAATCTGTATTTTATAGAACTTAGATTTTCATTATAATTTACCCCCACTTCTATATCCACCCCCTCACCCATATATTTGTAAAAGGCGTTTTATCATATAGTAGAGACTATATGAGGGCGTGCTTTAGCAAATACACGAATTTTAATACTATAACAATCTAAAATTTTCATGCAGAAAGTCTGCCCACAAGAAAAGTTATTAATAAATTTAGTTCCCGTAGTAAGCACATAGTGCAGATATATAATATTGAAATATCACTTGACCGAAGGGTTCAGAGGATCTCGTAGTCGAGCAGTCTTGACAAGAGCTTTATTAGTAATAAATTTAAAAGTAATAAATTATTACTTGTTTCTGCTGCGTTGCTGTAAATTAAATTTCGATTTCTATAGAATGCACCCTACCTAGGAATGTGTAGGTGAATTACGCGGATGCCTTTGCGTTTGTGCATACATATTTGAAATTGCTAGGCTGTATATACATATGTATATTTTTTTTACATTTCAACTGTGTATTATTAAAATTCAAGCAATGAGCACACACATTTGTCATTTGATTTGCATTTTATTGTGCATTTATTTCTTTAAAATGTTTATTGCTTCCTATTTTCGATTCGCGTGGCTGTTTTTATACCCTGTATATAATCATTATCAAATGAAGGGTGTATGTTTTGGGTAAAGCCCAAAATGTGACATATTATAGTGTGTGTATTCTAATATATATATATATATATATATATATATATATATATATATATATATATATATACTATAATGCTAAATTAATTTCCATTTGAAAATTATGTACATTGTAAAGATAATAATTGTGTAGGGTATTTGCAACTCGTTACTCAAGTCAAACAGATTTTGGTTAATTTTATCTGCCTGGCTGCAGTTAAAAATAGGCGGACAAAAGCGGCTACAGCAACAGAATGCGACTTACGCATTCACGAACACTTGCACACACACGTACACGCACGCATAGCGGATCATACAGATTTACATATGTACACACTACATATGTACATGTACATGTATGTATGTAGTATGAATTGCAACATTAAACAAGAGATGATGTATGGAATAATGCTTTGCTATTAATTTAATCTTTCAATTGGAAAATAAATTGGAGTACATGCAAAATTCATTCAGGCGCTTCTTAGATTTCGAGTCACTTATGTAAAAAAGTAAATACATACATGTATGTAAATATGTACATACATATATACATACATATGTAGTTTGTTGAGAGACAATATATGCATATATGTATGTATACGAACTTGTGAAAATGAATTTCAATATAATGTAAGCATATACATATGTATGAATACATACATACATGCACACATATGCTTGTACGTATGTACATGTATTCACCTATGTTTGTATATATGTACGCACGTATGCAAACACATGCATATTAGCAACTAACTGTGCTTGTGATCTGTTAAAAGTTGCAATTAACGCGGCTACTGCCGAACACGACGGACGGTTCATTTACATTTTAAAATTTTTGCTAATTTTCAATAACAATTTTTTATATGCACTTGCCGCTGGCCACCATCTGTCCGTCCGCATGGCCACTTTAAAAATAGCACAGCCGCACTTGCGACTTCACATTTGCTGTCACACTCGCACTCCAATATTTGCTATTCTGTCACTTGCCAGTGAAGTCGTAGGTGTGAGTGTGTGAGTGAGCAAATGCATCTGATTTCGGATGCTAAATGGCAAACTAACGCGCTGTAAACAGCAGGCGCAGTTTAAGTTTGTGGCGTCAACGTTGTGCTCAATTGACAACGCGCCGCAGTTTGATGCCGTGTGTGCCACTTTTCTCATACCGTCCTTGACCCAAAAGCTATACCGGCAAATAACAAATTGACGCCTCGCCTAACAGTTTCCACTTACACATATGCATGTACATGCATATACATGCATATACACTTACATATAAATGCATTTAGTGCCAGCCTCGCCACCCCAGGCAACATAACTGGGTTAAGGTTAAATTTGCTGTCGCTGCTGTTGCAGCTGCTTTACGATCCTATGAACTGTTAATAAACAGACTGCTGTTAGCGACAGCTGTTATACTTGCTCAGCTGATGTGTTTTTCAGCTGAGAGTGGGTGTGTATCGGATGCACATATACATATATAGTCTTTCATGTGTTGTGTGTGTGCTGTGGGCTGCGTATATTTGCATTTATGTATGCAGATTGTAGTTTTGAGTTAGTTACGTAACAGCGTATGTTTAGATTTATGTATATATATATGCCGTAAGTGCGTATCGATAGCTATGTATGTGCGATGTAGATCATCGATTCATTGTTATCTTATTTTGTATGCATCAGTTGCAGGTCGCGCTGCGCCGACGTCAGCGTGAGCGTCAGAATCGGTAACATCATCAGCAGCTACCTGTTGTAGTACCCGCAGTAATTGGCAAGTTGACATTTGTCATCTTTTACCTTACGTTTAATGTAGGGAACTGTCAAGAAAACATAGAAACGTCAAACCAAAATCTGAATGTCAGAGTAGGCTGATTTTAATTGTCAAGTTAAGTTTCTGATGTTTAACTCATTTCCTTTTGCGTTGCAGACTGTTAACAAGGAACAACAAAACAAAACCCCAATCTAAAATCATATAAAAAGGAGAAAGAACGGAAGACTAGCAATAATAATAATAATAATAATATTAATAATAATACAATAAAATTAATTATAATAATATAATAGTAGCAATAATAATAATAATCAACAGCCACAAATCAAAAGCTAATTTAAAACAACAAAAAAAGAAAGGAAAACAAGCAAAGTATTTGTTTTTAGTTATCATTAAAACTACGGAATTAATAAAAATCACTTTAGCCTTATATACAACAACAAATACAAAAAAAAAAAAAAAAAAAAACAACAACAACAACAAAACTAGAATATTACCATAAGAAATTGCATGCACGGAAGTAGAAGAAAAGAGAAGAAGAAGAATTAAACTGGATACGCTCTAAGTAAGATAATATAAAGGGCGATAGCTATTAGAGAACGGAACCAAAAGAGAACTTAAACTCCAGCAGAGTGCGAATATCACAATAATTGCCTACCAATTCTCTCGCTCTCTCGTGAACGTCAATAAAGAGGAACCGCATAAAATACGGGCGACAGGTAAACAGGAAGTAGCGAAAAAAATCTTAAAATACGGCAACGCTGGCAACATTAGCAACAGCTGCAGCGCATTTTTACAGCAACTACAAATCGCAACCGCATTCAGCATTAAGAGCGATAGTTGTTAGCGTCGAGTGCCTTTAAACCTGCTGCCGCCGCCGCAGCCGCTGCCAGACGCAAGCAGCAGCAGCGCAGCAGTGGGCAGCGATGAGTACCCAGCAGGAACAACAGTAGTGACGTTACCCCAACTGCCTAAGAAATTGCTACTGCGAGACTGCGACAGAGAGTGACTGGAGAGAGGGGAGAGGCAGAGTGAGAGAGTGCAAACGATTATAGGAGAGAAAAAGTACATTTTCACAAGTGTAAGCAGCGGAAGTGGGGGGTAGCAGCCTAATGCAAAACAATATGGTGAGCATACCAGCGGCCAATTTGAACGGCGGCCTAAAGGCATCCAACGGCAGCGGCACCGTCGTTGGCGTCGCCGGCACAGTGCTGGCCAATGGGCAGCGCGTATTCCTAACGCCTGCGTCCAGCTATCATTTAGCCGCACGGCAAACAACGGTCAGCGGGTCTGTGACCTCCGGCGTGGGCATGGGCATGGGCATGGTGTCCACGGCCAAAGGCGCTAGCAGCAGCAGTCTTGGCGTTGTCGGCGGTGTCGGCGGTGGCAGCAACGCGACTGCGGCATCATCGACGAGCACGACGGCGGGTACTGTGCGCTATTTCTCGCAGTTCAGCAAGCTGCAGCCGGTGCAGCAACTGCAGAACAGTTCTGGGCAACTAAAGCTGCTCAATGGCGATACGATGGTGTTAGTCAACGGCGCCAAACCGCTCATCTTCACCAATCCCAACAGCAAGTTGCTGACACCAACGACGTCAACAACAATAAATTCAACATCTGCAGCGGCAACAACTACGGCAACAGCAACAGCAACAGCAACAACAACCGCAACAACAACAGTTCCTAATGGTAATAGGGTGTTAATGAACAAGGAGCAGCAACTACAGAAACAACAACAACAGCCAGCGACTGTGATTGATGAGGTGCAGCAGGAGGAGCTGCAGCTGGAAGATGATGGCGATATGATCGAGATCAAGCAGGAGGATGGTCAGCAGCCTCAACAGCAACAGCAGGGTGATCCGATGACCGCCAGCAAAACCACCGATCCGGATGCCGAGCCGGAGCTGGATATTGTGATTAACAATGTGGTGTGCTCGTTCAGTGTGCGTTGCCATCTAAAGCTGCGCGAGATCGCGCTGAATGGCTCCAATGTGGAGTATAGGCGGGAAAATGGAATGGTCACCATGAAGCTGCGTCGTCCCTATACAACGGCCTCCATTTGGTCATCCGGTCGGATTACGTGCACCGGCGCCACCTCTGAGTCGCAGGTAAGGCATCCTCTCAAGATTACGTTCATCTAGGCACTTACTATTATTTGATTGTAGGCCAAGATCGCAGCTCGGCGCTATGCGCGCTGCCTAAGCAAACTCGGATTCCCGACCCACTTTCAGAACTTTCGGATCGTGAATGTGCTCGGCACCTGCAGCATGCCATGGGCCATCAAGATAGTCAATTTCTCGGAGCGCCATCGCGACAATGCCAGCTATGAGCCCGAACTGCATCCGGGCGTGACGTACAAGATGCGCGAGCCAAAAGCAACGCTTAAGATCTTCTCCACGGGCAGCATAACGGTAACAGGTATGCGAATGAAATGGAAGCTGGCTGAGAGAGGAGGAACAAGAGTGACTTCCATGTTATAATTCATACACATATACAAATCAGAGTATTCAGTTGTTAAATCTCAATTTTTCATATGTACAGCCGCCAGCGTGAACGACGTCGAATCCGCCATACAGCATATATATCCTTTGGTGCACGAGTTCCGTAAGCAGCGCTCTGCAGAGGAGCTGCAGCATCTGCGTCAAAAGAATCGTGGCCAGGCCGGCGACGAGCTTAGCGATCAGGAGCAGCAGCTGGCGTCGGAGAGCAAGAGCCAGGACAAGGATGATGAATTTTTAAACCCCAGCGCAACACACTCAGAAGCTGGCAGCAGCCTCTACTCTGGTTCTCTGTATGCGACCCGTCGCACAGAGCAGGTAACCAGCAGCAGCACCAGCAGTGGCGGTGACAACATCTGTGCCAACGCACGTCGCCGGGCTACCGAGTGCTGGGCTACCAAGCTGCAAAACAAACGTCCGCGCTACAACGATCCGGGGTCGACGACAACTGCCTCCGCCGGTCACATGGGTCGCGCTGGGGGCAGCAGCTGCAGCAGCACCGTCGTCAGCGGCAGCTACAGCGCCAACTTCAGCGCCATTGGAGTGGCAGGCGGCTCTGCCGCCTCCGCGACGACGGGGCAACTGCGCTTGGGCAAGCCTCTCGTGCCCGTCGATGTGATTCTGAAACAGAGCAGCTCGCGGGCGCGTAACGCGGCAATAGGCGCCACTGCTGGCGACAATGGGTTCTATACCAAGCGCGAGACGTTCTCCCCAACGGACTTCCAAGTGGACGATCTGATCGAGGAGGATGACGACGACTTAGGCATGCACTTTTAGGAGCATCCAATGGAACAAAGTGAGCCGAGCAAGCGAATTTGGTGAATCAGTCAGGAGTTTCCCATGCCAAATTTATCTAAGTTTTACGAATGAGAAACGTGAAGAAACGAGCAAAGCATGCAAACACTCACACAGACATAAACACACTCACTGAGACACAGAGACGCATGTTATGGAATTTCTTATGTGCTCTGTAAATGCATTTAACATAAGCTTCACATCATGTTGACAGACAACCTCAACAAAAACACATATAAACGCATGCATACATATGTGCATGTATTCACATACATACACATACATTCGGTGTGCAAGCGAAATGAGCAACTGCAGCATCAGCAGCGTCAACAAAGTACGGCGAATTCAAAATCCAAATCAAATATTTTCTATAAAAAAATTAAAAAAAAAACCCATGAGCCAAATATTTATATTTAAGGTGAGTCTAAAATAATCCTTGATATTCACTCTTTTATTAAGATGCATTTGCTGTCGATATGAATATTGCTCTTATAGCTAACAACAACTGAGTCATTTAATCGCTACGTCATAAAGTAACGCGTACGTGCATGATGATTGAGTGATTTTGCTGTTGAATTACGTATCTTTGTAGATATATGATGCATTCTTTATGTTGCAAATAAGTTGGGTACATTTTGACATAATTGTAACCGTTTCGTATTTTTTTTTTGCAGATTACGTTTAGACAGAGCAAAGTACGTAGATGACAATTGACGTACAGCGAGACTACAGACACGGCGATTAAATTGATCAGCTTCTGCGAGATGGTATCAATTAATTTTACCATAAGCATGTTCACATACACACATATATAGACTAAATGTAACAAATATCAGCAAATGTGTGCGACACACATACGTATAAATGAATACATATGTCATTTACATATACGTATTGAAACCCTCAATAACTGCAATTACGATGATAATCTGCAACAGCGATCCGAACTCAATGGAACAAGTGAAAACTGGAAGTTAAGCAACTATTACACACAAACAAACAAACAAACAAACAAACAGATCAGATCGACATAAACAGTCGATTTCTTCGCGATACCAATCCGTATTGTAAATACATATGTATGTAATTACGTATGTCAGCAAACCACCGCCTAATAAATACTGTTACTACACTTTTAACAAAAGCAAAAACAAAAACACTATGTAATAATTTTAGTGCTATGTTTTTTCATTTACATTTATTTAGTTCAATGATAAATGCAACTTTTTAATCCTTTGCTGTACAGCCGCTGTTACGGTTAACAAGAAATACAAAAGCAAAAGTAAATGTTATGCGGCTGTTACGTCACAATTCAGCAGCCGGCATTGCACATAACGAATCCCAAGAAAAGAAAAATATAAACATGTTCTAACTAGCACATTTATTTAGGATTTTTTTTTTTTTTTTTTTTTAATTTTTAAATTTGATTATTTTGACAATTGAATTTTTTAATTTTTTTATTCTATGAAATGATGAAAGCAATTATACTTTTAGAAAGTTCTTGAGAAACAACAATTAGTTTCGGTTCAACTTAAATGTAGTGCATTATTATTATTGTAAGGGATTATTTTAGACTTTTTCTGTTTTTAATTATATGTTAAGTGTTTATTAGTTATTCAAAGTTAAGCAATTATATATCAAATATGTATAATTTATACATACATATATACATACTACACTTATATCTGGTCACTTGTAAACCAATAACAAAAATACGCAAAATATGCTAAAACAAATTAATTTAATTCATTAAATTTACACTTTATACATTGCATATATGGAAAGGGCAGAAAAACATATTACATGTACATCCAATTTGTCAACTGTCCGTTCATTCCGTGAGAAAACAGAATCTTACGAGTGTCAACATATTTATATATATTTTTTTTTCATAATTTTTAAGATTTAAACTTGTTCCTGTGTTGTTAAAATGAAAATGAAGAAAAACAAATCGAAAACAAAAATGTAGTTTATAAATTAAATGTATTTAACATGCGCACCCGCGCGCATTTACACACACACATACGTCAATGCTTGCATTCATAATAGCCGCAGCAACAACAATAAGAGCGCTCACAAAATCATAAGCAATAAATATTGTACATTTGACACATAGAAAACAAATAGATATGTAAACCAATGTAAAGAGCAAGAAGAGAGGATAACAAAATGCGTTTAATACGTAAATACATGCATGCCTATTTATATACATACATATATGCGTAATCTACAGTTATTTATCAGCAGCAGAAAGTTAAAGAATAAGATACGGAGAGAAAGCGTAATGAAACAACACGTCGCCAATTCTTGGTCGCTTTATGCGTTCACGCACACAAAGCGCAACAAAAAGAGCAAGCGCGAATGAGACTGAGTGGGTATAGGCGGAGGGAGAGAGAGGATTGCAAATGGAATGGAACGCTAGTGGATATGCATGGTCACGTGCATTGTACATATTAATGACATACATACATATGTACATAAATATGTATGTATGGGTGCTTGTATTTAACATGAGTTTTCTCTTAACAAATGGAAATCGTAACATGTTTTCATGCCATACTTCGCCGTTAACATTTTTTGGCAGAACAAGCACATCAATTGTTCAATTAAAATTTGTACATACCTACGTAATTATTTAGACATGCATAAGTACACACCACACACACCCACACACACCCAAATACAAAACCGATCAACACTAACACTATCCACAACACATAACTGCTGAAAAGCAAACGTGAATAGTTATTAAAGCATAAAAAACCAACACGAAATATCAATGCATATGCCTTATGTATGTTATGCGTATATTAGGAGAAACTACACATATACATGTATGTATGTACATATCTATATATGTATGTACGCTTGAAATGGCCGTTGCTTTTCAAAAATTCTTATGTTCGGCTTCTCTCATAAGTTGACAATTAATAAATATTGTTGGTGATATCTCTTCATCCGTTTATCTATGTATCTGTCGTTTTGTCTCCTTCCGATTGAGGTAAAATTAAAATAAATATATTTAAGTTACTGCATTCCGAAATTTAGTTTGCATATTTTTTCCTTTATAAAACGGTTTTAATATTGTTTACAATCCTGTTTAAAAATGGTTTCTTAAACATACATACATATATATGTATGTAATTCTTTTTTTTTTCAGTGCGGACGTCCTTTAAAATAAAATATTTGTTCATATCGTTCAATTTTATGCATAATCAGAATACAAATCATTAGCAGAGGTTACAAAACTAAAATAATTACACTTACACTCACATACATACATACACACACATACACACATACATTCATATATTAATGATATCAATTTGGCGATATTAACTAGAATTTTAAAAACAAAATGTTCACTTGAATGTATTTCGCTTTTTTGTATTAGTGTGTAAAATAATATGTACATATATATACATCAATGAAGGCCTAAATTAAATTAAATTATTTTATATTATTGATGTATGTAAAACCCAACAAAAACAAATTGCCTTTAGGGAACAAATAAAAGTGTATGGAAGATGACTAAGAGATGAAGCCAAGCAGCGAACCAAAATTTATTTTTGTGTGAATGCTAAGCAGTGAGATAAGGTGGGAGAAAGAGGGGGATACGAAATCTAAGCTTACGCAATCTAGATGAATAAAAAAATACAATTTACATTTACCTAGTATATATAAAGTAACTGTTACAACTACAATGACAAAACTCTTCAAAAAGGGAAGCAAAAAACTAAAACTAAACTAAGTTAAGATTCTTCTTGAAAGTGAAATACACTTCTAACTGCCTTCAGAGAAAAAAACAAAAAAAATTAACATCGACTTAATTAGCGAGAAGAAACATGTAAATTATATGGAAGCTTCAATTTAAAAACAGAAAAAAAATAATAATAATAAAAAAAAAAAAAACATCCATTCAAACATTTCTCTATTATCTGTTAGTTCATCTGTCCTTTAATTATTATCATTTATTTCACTTAAAATGAAAACAAAATATAAATATGACGAGGAAGTAACTAGAGAGCGCCTAAATAAGTATATTTGGTTTCATAAACTCTAAAAGCAAAGAAAAAAAAAAACGTAAATATTTATATAGTATACACACATATATTTTTTATTATTACGTATTTAATATGAAAAAAAAAACACACAAATGTAATTTAATGAAAAGCGTAAAATGAAAATTTACACACACAAACACAAGTGAAAAATCAAATAGCATTATTATGTTTTTGTTTTGCCGTAAAGACTGCATTATACCAACAATTAATTATATACACACACACATACATATATATATATATATATATATATATATATATATATATATATATATATATATATATATATATATATATATACGTTACATACGAAATTGTATGAAAAACAGAGCTACAAAATTTGTAAACAATTAAAATAAAAAAACCTTAGAATTAGGCGTTAAATTAAAAGTTAAAAATTAAAAATAAATGCAACAAATACAAAAATAAAAGAAAAGAAAGAAAAACTTATTTATTACACCTAAGCTGTAAACTTATATAGAAACACTAATACCAAGAGCAAAGTGAAATGTTTTAAAACAAAAAAAAAGAGAAGATAAACAAATAACTAACAAAGTCAACTTAAAAGAAAAGCCTGCAATAATTACGAAAAGCAAGATGGAAATACCTTACTTAAGTGAAAACTATGAAAGTAACAAATAATTATATATATACATATAAACAAATATATAAATATATACATATTATTTATAAATGGAATAAAATAAGAATAGAAGGTAAATGAATACAAAGTTATTTATTCAAGATTTAAGTCATATTTCTGGAGTACCCCTAATCCCAAATAAAAGCAAAAAAGTAAAAAGAAAATGAAGATGGATTCATATATTGAAAATACCGAGAGGAAAACCAATTTAAGCTAAGCGAATGAGTTGATAAACAATAATAAATATATATATTATATATTATTATTATATATTATATAGGTCTGATAAGTTTTGTTTTAGTAAGTCTAACTCCACTTAAATTATTAATCAAAGGATATATTTAAAGGAAGCAAAAGCTAGAGGGAGAGAAAGACATAGACAAAGAGAGAATGTGTGAGTGGGGCAGGGAGAGGGAGAGTAAGAAAGAGAGGGAGAGAGTGGGAGAGAGATAGTACCCAAACTTGCAATAGAGACAAAAGGGAGAAGAATCTTGAATTTCAAACATATTTTAGTTACATTCTTTTGAATCTTGTTTCAGCAAAGCAGAGTAAAAAACAAATAGAGTGAAACAAAAATGGAAATGAATTGAAACAGTTAATTAAGTCGAAAACAGTACAACTGCCTTTAGTTGCAGTTAACTCAAAAATAAATATAAAGAAAATGAAGAGCAACCAAATTAATCCCAATTTGTTTCAATAAACATAGTTCTGTATGAATGAACTTTGCTATTTACCACCTTGATTTAACAGCGAATTGCTTTATCGCCTTAATTTTCTAAGACAGAAGAAATTTCATTTTTATGCCCTGAACCCATTTTCAATGGCAAATGACGGTAAAATGGTTGTGGTGGCTGACGCCATGAAGTATATTTATTCTTGATCATATTTTCTCTATAACTCATCCGATTTCTTTTTTAATCGAGAATAATCAATTTCGTTTTTTCAGCGTGATTTGAACATGAACACTATTAGACCTAGAGACTTTAGGTCTACTGCGTTTATGTATTTTGAAATTTACAGATTCTGGATACCATGCTTCCCTCGCCGCTAATTTGTAAAATAAGTATTTCACTAAAGACTTGTGCTTTGGAATTTAAGCATATTTGAACATTATGAAAGTTTCATGCAGATAGTCTTACATATTCAACAAATTCTCTTACTTTCGCCCTCACTGCAGTCAAAAAATACAGAGCCGAGCAAACACGAAGTTGATTGGCGCCAACTGCATGCTTTTTTTTATGGTTCTATGGTTAGTGGTAACAGATGGAAAGAGTAGAGTATCTTTAGCCGGATAGTGCCGGATGTGTAGAGTAACCGATTCAAGGTAAACTTATCGGTTGTGCTAGTAAATTATTGTCAAAGTAGGATTTGCTTCACTTCGAATATTAAGATGTATTATAGTATATATATTTATAAGTTCTGAACGAATCAAAATTACTAACAAAAAATTAATTCTGGCGACCGGCGTTAAAAGTGAATTACCGTTATTAATTGAGACCGAATATGTCGGAAACAATTGCAAAGGTCATCTACGGCACCGTCCTGCTGGCGATGATATTGCAAACGCCTAGGGTGTCCATTGTAATCACATACGACCCAAACCGCTCTTATCACTTCAATGCCGGGATCAACGGTATCCGGTCGAGTTTTCTGGTCGCCGCACTCTTCACTATGATGGCCGTGCTGCCCGTTCGTGAGTTCAATGGATTCATTAAGCCAGGCAAGAAACTGTTCCTGATGCTAATCTTTCCGTGGGTGTCCACCTGTTGTATGATGTTTGTCTCCAACTCAGTGCTGCTGCTGAGGATTACGGAACGAACGCTAGTTCACAATTCCTGGAACTGTTTCGCCAAAGCTCTGCTGGCCTACTGCGCTCTCTTCGGATTCGCTACAGAGCTGATGCTGCACTGGTACTCCATCTATCAATACCATAACTGGCAACACGCCATCCACGAAAAGTCCCCAGCTTTATAAACCTGACCCTGCTGCGACTGATGCCTCCAATGACACTAGCGACATTACTTGATCAACATTGTTAATGATAAAAATCCCATTCACACGCATATACTACACGATCCTAATTATAAATGTCTTCAACTGCTACTGCTGAAAATAAAATGCTGTCGAAATTAATAACAGTAAGTTAATCAATCTCCGGCTAGCTTCCATACGTGGTAAAGCTATTTTCATGCAGTTTTCAATTTTGATTAAATCAAACAAGTTTTCTTTTCAATTGTTATGTTTATTGTTTTTCATTTCTTCATTTCTCCTCTGTTTCTTGCCTTCAATTTCAATTCAGTTTTTCTTCCAAGTTTTTAAGGAAATTTGCACCATGCAACAAGAAAAGCTCTAGCTTCGGTTAACCGAACAACTCATGCCCTTACAATCACAAACGACTTCATCAGATTTCGATCACAAGCCAATCTATAATTATCTCAAGATTACGAAGGACTACAACCTTTCCGAAGTCATTATCTCAATTTGGTTAGTAAGACTAGGCTGCACAGTTATCAGACAAACAGACAGATGGTCGTGTCAGAGATCATTTAAGTAAGGCTCTGCAAGGGCATAGACGTAACATTGCTGGTTAATAGCTCGATCAAGACATTGAGTTCTTAAGCTAAACCGCTGGCTGAATAATTGGACGCAACATTTGCATTTGGTTATAACTAGGTATTACATTTCTCCAATATTTTCATTTAGTTATTTATATATATATATTAATTATATATACACATATATGCACTCTATTGGTTCAACGTTTATATATTATTTCTATGTAGTATACAATCTATAGCATGTATAATTCGCTTATTTTACAAAATATTTGAAATGTGTTTTGATCAAATTGTATGTTGCCTGTCTATAATGGAATCTCTTTCCCGGAGCTAGGCTACAAATTCATTTAAAAAATAGAAATATTATTATTCATCAATTCTATTCATTTCTTTTGTTTGTTCATCATTTTCTCTATTCCTGTTTCAAGCCGCAACGGCAAATGCGGCTATAAAAATTACAATGTTAATATTAATTCATATTTTCGTTTCCTCTTGTATTACTAGTAGTTTTTAATTCAATTTGTTCAATTTGTTTTTATATCGCAGCGATAATTTAGACGTAGGATTAGAAGTAGGCCTTTAATTAAACTTAATTTAAAAATTCTTAACTAATGCATATTGCATATTGGAATTGGTGAATGGGGATTGATTGATGCATGTCTCTGGCTAGCTACTATCTAGAAAATCTCCTTGCTGGGCGTCGAAATGCCCATCGGCTGCTCGTACTCCGATGCGGGCGACTTATGTGTCCGTTTTTCCTTGTGTTGTGATTTGTCCTTCTTATGCTTTTTTTTATGCGCCTTGGCATCAACAGCTGCAGACACGTCACCCTCTGGGTGCGCAGCGGACGTCTCTCCCACGTCAATGATAGTCGTCGAGCCTAACGTGTTTGCGGTCGCTTCGTCGTTCATCAGCTTGCTCGATTTGTGCGCCCTCTTCTCGCGCTTCTTCTTCTTCTGATGCTGGCTGTGTTCAGCATGGGATGGGGCAGTGTTGTTATTGTTGTTGCCATTATCTGTTGCTGTTCGACAGGGACTGCTCCCCGTGTCAATCAAGTCGGGCACAGAGTCCGGCTGCGATTGCGCCTGAGCCTTGCACGTTTTCTGCTCGCCTCGCGCCTTTTCCTTAGACTTTTTCACCTTTTTGCTAGGCATTGCCCCCGTCTCGGGATCTATGGATTCGGAAGCGGCTGACCCGATTTGAGCCTTCACACTTTCCTTGCCGCTCGCCGACGCAGTCTTCGATGACCTTGCAGGTGCTTCAAAGGCGGCCCTATTGAGAGATTATCAATCAAATGCTATTTCAATTCAGCTTCTGCATAAAGTCTTACATGTCTAGCTCGATATCGAGTGCACGATGCGGATCATTTGGATCGTATTTTCCATCCTTGTCTTCGCTGTCGGACAACGTTACGCCCTCGGGCATGTCCAACGTGGTGTTCACAATGTGCACTGTCTTGGGTTCTAAAAGAAACATTTTTCACTATAGAATTTCTTCATTTCGAGTTACTGTTAGCACAGTGCTTACCCGCATCCGACTCGGAGCTGCTATTGTAGGCAACTTTGTTTTTTGATTTTTTACTCTTCTTACTTTTTTTATGCTTCTTTTTGGCATCTTTGCTGTGCGCCGCCGCTTCCTGTTGCTCCTTCAGATACTTGTCCGACCGCTTTGTGACTGCAAAAGTTGTTATAACAGTTAATCAAATGCATGGCATTCCACTTATTTTCACTTACTGCCCACACGTAGCGCGGCCACGCCCTCAATGTCCAGTGGGAGCTCGGTTATGGGTATGTCATCGATGTTGTCGTACTGGTCGGCATTCGAGTTATTGCTGCTGTTGCCAATGGCCGCAGACGCCGAATTCGGCGTTGACTTCAGGTAATGCGGATTGTTCGACTGCTCGATGAGACGCGCCATGCGTTGGCGCTCCAGTTGCTCTGGCGTTAGCTCCAGGCTCTTGCGTCGTTTGCCGCCCGAGTGACTGCCGGTGCCGCCACCGCCCCCACCAGTGGCATCGTTGCCATCGTGAACGGCACTGACAAATAGCTCATCCTTGTCATGCTCAGAAGATGTGCTGCTTGCGTCGTCAGGGGGTGGCGCATTGATCCACTCGTCCAAGTCGAGTCCATCCGGCAGCGGCACCTTGCGCTGTGCCTTGGGCGCCACAGGTATTAGTTCGCCAGCGAACAGCAGCGCCATCTCCTGAACAATCTCAATGGCCATTGGCGGTATCGACCCCGTGGACGCATCCTCTTGCTGAGTCAACTGCTTGCGCAGCATCTCGATTAGCATGCAGGCAGAGTTGGCGCGCTCCTGTACCTCAATATCGTTGGACCCATTGAAGTGTTGCAGCTTTTCCAGCACATGATCGCACAGCTGAAATCACACGAAGTAAAAAGTGTGGATCAATTAACCGCATTGTCTTATACTTTATGAAATAACATGTTTCCTTGTCATATATGGTATTCAAACTCAGTGGAAATATCGATTTTAATCGATTATAAACAAAAGGAAAGGAAAGGAAGTTATCAAAATAAATGATACCAAAATATTTATAGATTGTTGTCTTCGATGGACATGGACTAGAGCAAGTCAACACGTCGTCCCGATTAGAAATGTGTATGTAAACCTTTACAGATCTAAATGGATATACGTAAAGGTAAAGCTAATAGGAATCTTGGGATAAATCTACAGATTTCATGTAAAACTCATCATCACCTAGCGTCAAAGTTCCTCTCTTTAAAGGAGGAGGAGAAGCTGTAGGGCCTGAGTGGATGGACTTACCCGTACTATGCCGGGCATATCCTGTAGCTCGAGGCAAGTGGTGGCAAGCCGGGCGAACAGCTTGATCACATTCTGCACGTAGACCCCCTGGATGTGGCCCGGCAGCTTACGTGGTCGCAGTAGAATGTTGAGAGTCCTCTCGGTGTCGGCTAATTCGTTAGAGAACTCGCCGACAATCCAGGCGGCGGCATAGAGCACTTCGTACATGGAGTTGCTTTGGGTCGAAACAGCAAATGTGTCCAGCAGATTGGTCATCTCATTAACGGCGAACTGACGCACCACGGGCACACGAATAGCGACGTCCAACAGCTGCTCGGCTATTAGACGGCCATGCTTGGAGCCGGCCTCTAGTTGAATGAGCTCAACGAGCACGGTCATATACCACTCGAAATTTGTCACGTACAGGTAGGAACTTTGTGCACATATCTCGATCACTTTGTAGAGCAGCTCGTCCCGATAAGCTGAGCCTTCGGCGCGCTCCATGTGGCCCAACAATCGCTTCACAATCTCCATGAGATTCTTTTTCGACACCATGCCATACAGCAGGTCCAAGGCGCGCAGTCGTATAGACTCGTCCTTGTCGTCTAAGCAAGCCAATATTAGATCCTTGTGTGTCTGCACGCTCTTCGGGTGCGTTTTCAGTATCTTCGACATGGCCAGCAAGCCCAGATATTTGACTGCAAGTAAATCAAGAGACGAAAGTGAGATGATGGATGGATGCATAACATTTGAATATGAATCGACCTATGCAATATATAGATATATACTTACGATTCTGATCTGAGTCGACAATCAGGATGCGCAGCTTCTGCACGCACAGCTGGATGGAGGCGCTGTGGTTCGGCATGCCGCTGCTGATGCTGATGAGGACGGCGATGACTGTATTGATGCACTCGTAGAGGAGGCTCATTGCCGAGGTGCTGTTTGGGTTGGACGGTTGGACACGGGTTGGCGGGTTAGGGCGGCGTTATATCAAAGATTTCAGTTCGATTAAAGCAGCACAAAAGAAGCAAAACAAAACAACAACAACAACAGCAATTGCAATTGCAATTACAACAACAACAACAACAACAACAACAATAGCAATTAGCAATTAAGAATTAAGAATAAAATAAAAAAAAATAAAAAAAAACTAATTAATATTTACAAAATCTACTTAAATATATAAATAGTATTTATGTACAATAGCTAATAATAATAAAAGAAAAACTAAATGAAATATAAACTCGATTTCATTTTAATGTTGGTGCTCGAAGCATTCAACGTAAGAGAGCAAGCGCAAAAGAGAGAGCGAGAGAGCTGAAGGGAGAGCTTAAATGTAACCACTGGTTAGTGATGTAACTAAACAAATATATATATAAATATATATGTAAAAATATCTACATATATATACATATATTATTATAGAGATTAAACAAGCAAATTATATTAAATGTTTTCTTCTTTTTTCTCGTTTGTTGTTCTGTTTTTCTTTGTTATGATTTTGCATGGATGATCAGCTCTCGATCTTCTTTGTTTTCGTTTTTGTTTTCGTCTTTCCAGAGTTTTTTGTTTTTGTTTTTTGTTTTGTTTTTGTTAAATTATAAGAACTTGCCTATGAATTAGATTTGTGAGTGGCTCTATTAATTTCTTTCCTAGCCGGGGTTCTAAGGGAGTTAAAGCGCCAAACTGCAAATATGCAAAGAGAAAAGAAACAAGCAACAAATTATACCATAATACACAATATACATACATACGATTGTATTGTGTACATAAAACTAAACAAGATCATTAAAATCACAAAAAAAAAACAATGAAATTAATATGCTGAAATTAATATTGATAAAAGATCCAATAATAACATATGTATGTACATGTACACTTGTACATATTCATACCCATACACATACATAGTTACATACACATGTACAGCATGTATGCCATACATATGTACATATGCATACACATATGTAGATCGTCTGGGACTATTTGGCATATCTCTCACTGCAAATTTTTCGAACGGGCAAAATACAAATATCAAATATATATTTTTTATTATGTTTAAGAAATAAAAAAATTAAAATAAAATATAGGTATATATTAAAAAGCATAAAGTATGCATATGTTTAATGAATTGATACGTAATCTGCTTCCTCTCTAGAACAGTCAGTGTTCATATATATATATATATATATATTTGGATGTACAGTAGAGTCCGGTTATAACGACGATCAAGGGACAGTCGTTATACCCGGAAGACGCTATAGCCGTATACATTTGCTTATAGAAGTTTGTCTGGGGACCAAAATAACTTCAACAACTTTACGGACGCTTTAAGAGGAGTCGTTATAGCCGGATTCCACTGTATATACTGTATATGTGTTTCTGCCTTAAAAGAGAAGGCAATTGCGAGGATTGTTAAAGCTCACAGCCAGCTATTTGCAAATACATATGATTTAAAGATTCCGATCCTAAATCTAAGCGATTTTAGCAAGCAAATAAATTTTGGGAAAACTTTATGTTTTAATGAAATCGAATATTCTTTTTGGACAGCAAAAACATATATAAATATGTGCATTGGAACATGAGAGCCATGTTTTCTATAACAACATTGACAGTTGAAATTATGTTTTTTTTGGGTTAGCAACAATTGTCCAATTAATTTTAATTTTTTTTTTTTTTTTTTTGGTGCGAATATGTGAGTAGAAACTGTGATGGATCTAACGAACTGAAGCGAAACTTGAGATACAAATGAAGTGGAAATAAGAAATGCGTTAAGTGAAAAGAAGAAAATCATACTAAGAAATAATATAGTTGAAGCGCGTGCTGTTTAATGTTGGTTTTTAGATTTATAAATAATTTTCTTGATATATGGCTGCTTGCTTCAATTAACAAAAGCGCGCCGATAAAAACCTGGAAATAATTTCAATTAGGGGCTGAGTCAATTTGCGTCCCAGCGCCGGTTCAATTGATGTGAGGCTCGCGAACTGTTTATTCATTTTTTTGTGGTTTATATTTTTCATTTTTGGTTTTCATGTTTCGATTTGTGGACAGGTAAGGGAGTGGAGGAGTAGGAGTTGTGTTAATTAACTTGTTGATAGACAAATATTCAGTTCGTATAATTATTGTACAGCAAAAGAACTAAGATTATCTCTTTTTTTAATTTCTTTTTTGAAAACTAATTACAAATGCGGCACTGCAAATACTTACCAGCTTGATAATTTTAATCAACATCCAATTGTTGGTCGACGTGGTCATTAGTTTGAAGAACACCGGCGCCAAGGGCAGATAGTTCTTTGGATTCTTGCGCGCCAGCTCACAAATGACATTGACAGCAGCCGATTGTACGCCTGGCAAAATATATAATGGTTACTCTAGTAGCTATATACATCTGTAGGCGTGCGGCTGGAAAGCACCTGGATCTGGATCCTCGAGTTTCTCTTTCAGCTTGGGAAACGCGGGCCGCAATGCTTCAGGATAGCGCAAAAATACCTTATACATCATTAGCACAGCCTTCATGCGCAGATACGGTTTCGTCGAGCTCATCTATAATGACAAAATAATTGATACAAATCGAGCTGCTCTTTCGGATTTATACACTCTACCAGTGTCATGATATCATTGGCCAGATCTCGCGATAAGTCTGGCGATATGAAACAGCTGAGCCCGCTTAAAGCTACGCCAGCATCGTATTGATTCTGTGAATTAAGGTCCTTGCGTATCATATTCGTGGTAAGCATCAGCAGCTGAAATTGCATTAAGTTAGTATTTGCATTAGGCATCTGATTCGGATGGCACTCACTTCGCTGTCCGGATGGAAGCATTGACTAGCCGCCAGATAACCGATTCGCTTGCATGTGAAGCGCGAAGAGCTCATCACCTCAATTATGTTAAAGCCAGCCCACGAAATGTCATAGCCGAGCATTTGTATCTGTTAAAATAATAATATGTAAATACAGAATAATATGTAAATACAGAAAATCAATAAGGAATATATTTGCATACGTATCCAGTAGATTCTCAATTAGCGAGCCAAGCAAATATTCATTTTGTATGATGATTGATGATTCGATTGGATTGTCTCAACTAACACGAATTTGACTTGGCTGTCAATTTAGACTCTAACGAAGACTAAAACAGATTGAGCACTGGAATATGCTATCTTTTTCATTAAATTATTGTATATATATATATGGGATTATATATATGGGATGAGAGATGTGCCTTCCCACATTATTTAATACCACATATTCTGCTTTTGTTGAGGACCAACTTACATAGGTTAGCTTGGCCACTGCATTGCACTTGACGTTGATATTGTCCTGACGCAGTTCCTGCTTGATCTCTTCAATGCATTGAGCTATGTATTTGGCCTGAAAAAAACGTAAAAAAAAACAATATGGTGACAATTTAATTAGTAATGAAATGAAAGCGTGTGTGTGTTGAATGCAATAACAATTCAAAGCATGTCTAATCATATTGAGCTTTCATGGGCAATCTGCATGACCCAAGCCGATTGGCGAACCGAATCAGACACATAATAAAAAGGAAAAAGCAACAAAAATTAACCTGAGTCATATGCATCACAATTGTGCAGGGAGAGGAAGAAAGGGAAATGTCTTGTGCTATCAACTGAACTAAATACAATTGCAATGTCTATAGATTTATGCAAGTGTGTACATATCTCCGTAAATACATAGGTATATACACACGTACATTGGCGCGTACACAAATCAGCAATTTTTTTGCCGAAGCAACTGAAAATCAAAAATTACTGTTGCTGGAGAGTGGGTACAAAAGAAGCATGGATTATTCAGATAATTATTAAAACTGTTTAGTCAACCAGACTTTATATACATATGTATATGTACATGGGCGGCATCAGCTGAAAATGGTGCTGCTACGCAATAGAATAAAATGTCTTTGATTTGATAAGGAAGCGTAAGCTGAAAGACGTTAAGAAAGTTCGGCTTCGCAGTGACAGAACATTTTCATTGGTTGTGAGTGCAAGTGTCGGTATGCCTGTGTATGTGTGAGCTGCCACATCAAGGAAATGAACTGAAAGACATTAAGAGTACACGATATGAAGAGAGAGACAGAGAGTGGGAGAGGCGAAATGCCGCTAATTGAGTCAAGCTTCTGAGCCTTTGGCAGATTTTGACGACATACATATATATATTTATATATATATATATATATGTATGCAGACACACACACGACATCTATGCTAATGGAAATGAAATTTGACAGCTCATTAAGTCGTTGTGTTGGCTCATTATAAGCACAAAAACAACTATTTGACGTTGCGGCACTTGCCTCATTATCCTTATTATTTCGTATTCCGCGCACAAGGTCTGTCAAGTTTTTATCAAACATTCGTTCGAAATTTCCCTTCACTTTTTTTAACGCCATTTCGTCGACGTCGTCGTAGTCGCTGCGTGCGCTGCTATTGCTGCTCTCGTTGTTGTTGCTATTTTGTTTGCCTCCAGAGCAGCAATATGTTGGCTTCAAATTTGTAATTTAGCAACTCAACAATAAAAAAAAATACCAAGAGACAGTGGATTTAATGTGCCAGAGCAGCCGGTAGCCGTCAGCATTTATCTTTTCATTAGCTCTTTTGCTCTTGGTTTCTTGCTTTCGCACTTGCAAAAATCACTGCCAACGCGAAGTGCACACCAAATTCGCTGCGAATCCAAAGTTTTGCCACCTTTTGATTCTGATAAGCTGGTGAAATTGCTTATTTGTTTAACCGATTCTAACGTTTAATTATTTGCGGCAAGCGAGCTTCCTCAGCTTGCATTCTTGTGTTATTTCTTGCAATTGATTTTTAGTCGCCCTTTTACAAGTTTGTTGTGCTATTTGTTTATCGCCCACAAAAATATAAGTTACTGCCGATATCGTACGTGCTATCGATAAGCACAGCTTTGCTTCTACATCGATAGCTCTACAGGTATACGGTCGTACCGATAACCAACTTGGATTCGATTATCCCGCCAAAATTGTAAATGAAAGAAGTATATTCGAAAATGTTGGTTCACATTATTAAAGTCTTGCAAATTAAATTTTAAAATTCATAACCATTTATTTAGAATTTGTGAAGTATTTCAACAATTAAAATCGTTTCAATTAATTCAATCACATACTTCATTTTATATGCCATTGCTCTAATTTTTTTTTTTTTTTTAATGTACTCGTATATTATATTATAGATTAACAAACCATACGATAGCAATAATAATTTATATCAGACATGGATCAGAAAAATGCTAATCTTTTCGTTAATTGATTTGTCGCAGGCAACATTGTTGGATGTGCAGATAGATAAAACTGGCCACAAAACAGGCGCAGAAATTTTCAATGTAAAACAACATAATTTGGAAATTTATAATACTTTTGGCACTGCAAGCAATCGTAAGAAAAAAAAAAAAAAAAAAAAAACCTGTGCGTGTACTTTCCCTACCAAAATAGGACATCAGTAAGTATACGAATACTTTTATAGAGATACTTTGGCAATATTAAATTTTTGTTTTTTGAAGATCCAGGTAGCTAGCGTGCAGTAGTTAAATATTTGAGTTTATGTAATGAAATTGTAATGAAAATAACTGCCATCTACAGGACACCGCAACAATTTGAGGCCAAGACATTCAAACGTGGTCGTCGAGCTAAAACATTTGTTTCCTCACATGACAAATTATTCAAACAATTGTTGTTGTTGGCACTGGATTGATGTGTTTGCGGATTGATTAATTGTTAGTCCCACGTTAATGACACATGTCCCTGACGACCGTATTGTGGAGTTGGTTGTGGATACATGCTGTAGCGACCACCCATATGGTTTTTGGAATAACCATATACATTGCTCATGCGCCAATGCTCGAAGGTTAACGGCTTGCTCAGGTTTGTGTCCCGCTTCTTGTAATATTCGTTAAAGTCCAGACGAGTGCCAAAGAGCTGTAGATTGTGATCATCGCTAGAGTTAAGGGCTAGCAAAAATCCACCAACTGCTTTGGCATAGGAGCCGGCGAAGCCTTCAAGTGTCCGACAGCATGTTAAGATCTTTTGCTCGAACATCTTGCGCTCCTGGTCGCGTTCCATCTTTTGCTCCGTAGTCACACCGAAGCGTCCGGTCCCTTCTGATTCAGCAATTGCTCTTTGCATTTTTTCGCGTGCCTCCAATTCTGCGAAACATTCCTTGTAAAAGTTTTCCTGCCAATTTTCTAGTGAAATTATATTCTCATAAACCACTTCCAGATGACTCTCCATATTCGTCGAGGTGTTTACAAAGCACCCAACGCTGATCGCTTGCAAGAACTTGGAGTGCGCATCGAGTATATCATCCAAAGCCTTCGCCTGCTGCATTCGCTTCTGCAGTTCCACCCAATTGCATTCGATCACCTCAAAGAGCACATAGTATTGCATTTGATGAACAAAGTGCATAATTTCGGATGTGAACAAGTGCAATCTGTAGGTGGCTTTGGAAATCTCATCGTGTAACGAGCGCAGTGCCTGAAAAATATGTATAGAATTTTTAATATAAGAGAATATCAGATGCAAATGTTATTTGTAGTTTTAGTAGTTTAACTGTAATCCCGTAAGCTAGTGTATGAATAATTTTTATTTAAACTAGACACCGGCTATCGATATTGCTATCGATAATATTTACAGCGTGTGAAGCAAGACTGAGCTGAATAATAGCAGCGTTTTTATCAATTGTTTACATATGTGATTAAACAACTGCGACTGTGTCTTATTTGATTCGCTACTCTGCAATGGCTTCGTCAATTTTTAGGGATTTGCCAGCCGAGCACCCACGTCACTTAATACCTGCACTATGTGCGCAATTCTACAATCTTGGCTGGGTCACCGGCACTGGCGGCGGCATGAGCATTAAATACAAGCAAGTCTATCAATGAATATGTATATTGAGATAACTCGTGAATGTCTTTTGAAATAGCAATGAAATTTATATCGCACCATCGGGCGTACAGAAGGAGCGTATGCAGCCAGAGGATTTGTTCGTCCAGGACATAGATGGCAAGGATTTACAATTGCCGCCAGAGATCAAGGGCCTAAAGAAGAGCCAATGCACGCCTCTCTTTATGCTGGCATACAGGCATCGCAATGCCGCCGCCGTCATCCATACACATTCCCAGCACGCGGTCATGGCTACGCTGCTCTGGCCAGGCAAAACGTTTCGTTGCACACATTTGGAAATGATTAAGGTGCCAGAATTAGCACTAGATCAAGTGCCAGTGCCATGTTATTTGAATATTGCTGTACATAGCTTTTGTAATCTCTTTTTTTTAGGGCGTCTACGACGAGGCTGATAAGCGATATTTGCGTTACGACGAACAACTGGTCGTGCCCATCATCGAGAATACTCCTCACGAACGAGACTTAGCCGACAGCATGTATGCTGCGATGATGGAATATCCCGGATGTAGTGCCGTACTTGTGCGCCGTCACGGCGTCTACGTATGGGGTCAGACGTGGGAAAAGACCAAGACTATGTGAGTAACAAACTACATATATGATTTTATAATATAAATAATATATGTACATTTCTTCAGGTCGGAGTGCTATGACTACCTATTCTCCATTGCTGTCCAGATGAAGACGGCCGGACTTAATCCAGAGAAGTTTGAGAACGCATAAAATACTTACTAAAAAAAGCTTTAATCAAAATTGAAAGTTGTTAAGCTGTATACAATAAATACTGATTATAAAACAGGTCTATATGTATGTATTCATTGATTGCTGCTATATTTAAGCTTTTGTATATGTATATATATAATTGCGTATCCAATAGTTTATTGCAAGAAATGGTTTACCGCAGCAAACCGAAATCCATTAATCTCCAACGCTTATCTATATCCACATGTAGTATTTATGATCTTCAAAATGATGGCGCACTTTGTGCGCAGGGCGAATACAGAGCAGCAACATTTTGGCTCATGTTATTTAACAGTACGCCAAATGACAGACAGAGAGAGCAAGAGAGGAGAGTGCAAACTCCAACGCAAACTATCGATTTTTTTATTAGTTACGTGTGTGTGTGTGTGTGTGTGAGTTAGGAAATGAATGAGTATCGAGAGTGAGAAAACGTGAGCAAAGCTAAATTAGAAGAGAAAAAAGCACATAAATATCAACGATTGCCGTTGTTTGTTCATTACTTGACGTTTTTTCTTTCAGGTGTAAGCACTCTGACGCACTGTTAAATCCAATTTCGCATTATATATAACACTTATTCGTTGCTTTTTATTTTTTAATTAACGAAAGCGTAGTCCAATCAAACGAGAAACATAATAATGTCGTTGCAATCAGACGCCGTGTTCCAGAAAATCATCGATGGACTGAAGGATAATGCTGCCAAGGCAAAGGCTGTCAATGGAGTATTCCTGTACAAAATCACCAAGGACGGCAAAGTGGTCAAGGAGTGGAGTAAGTCATTAAGCTCAATATTCGCGTCTGCCAATTACACGTCTGTGCTAGCAAAGTTCAAAGTGCAGGCAAATAGCGCGTACTTCAGCCCTGGCTGCTACCGCAGCAGCTACTGCTGTGCTCATTGAAAATCTAGTTGCTTAACTCAACTTCATTTACAGCTCTCGACTGCAAGAGTGCCAAGGCGTACGAAGGACCCGCACAGGGCGTCAAGGTCGACACCACACTGACGGTTTCCGACGAGGACATGGTTGACATTGCCCTCGGCAAACTCAATCCCCAGGCAGCGTTCATGAAGGGCAAGCTGAAGATTGCCGGCAACATCATGTTGACCCAGAAACTGGCGCCCCTGCTGAAAACGGACGCCAAATTGTAAACTGGCATTTGCCGCTTTCACAACAAAACGACGGCACATTCCCCAGTTTCTATGTTTTGCACGTTTGTTCGTAATCGCACATTACTTTTGTTGTCATAATTACGATACTCCAGTCGTATTTCCACAGTATGTGTGTTTCTGTTTCTTATATTTTTTTTGTATGTTTATACTATGTGTAATTAGAAAATAATACATAAGCCTAAAAGTGGAATCTGTGCCTGATTTATTATTTCATTAATTATATTTAGATATATGTATAAATAGCTAGCAATTAATATGGAACAGGAATGTGTACTTTAAACCCATTCTCCGATACCCGGATACCGATAGCCTAGCCCTTATCAGAACTTAGGACGGCAATGGCAAGTATACAGCACTGCCTCAGCAATTTTCAATGACACGGATTAGATTGCGAGCTAATCTTATCCATAGCAAAACTGCTTAAATTTAAATTGTGAGGTGGGGGCTTATAGCTCGCAATTAACATTTGGTCTTCTTTATTACACATATAACCTGTACTCGTTGTACGAGAAGGGTAGAAAGCTTCCATGCAGCTGTCTCTACTTATCATATTGTATTTAATCTGGTCTACCTACTGAAGAACTTCGATCTATAGACTCGTAGCTTCTTTCTACCGTATGCAATGATCAGGTTTGATTCATCGGCAATTCGGCCCATATCGATATCTTCTGTGTCAACATCGATAACATTTTAAAAATCTTTAGAATAATTTTTCCAGTGTGGGATTCATGGGAAAAGTTATGGATAATCCATCCTAATAATAAAAAAAGCTCACCTTGGCATTGCCCATTTGTATTTTCCAAATTTTCGTAGACAGTACGAATTCCATATGCTTGATGCGCCAAAGCGGCTTGAATAGGGCCTTGTATGTGGGCATTGCGGGCTCCAACATGGTAGCCAACGGTCCACGCACCGTGTATTGCAGTGAGATGACATCCCAACCGCAATCGCCGGGATATGGCGTTTTGACCACAACATCCAAGTGATTCAGTATGTCTGGATCGTCGTACTGGGCGTTTGTACAGCGCAAAGCGGCATCCAGCATGGCAGAGAGATCATGTGAGTATATTTCGGTACCAATCTTCTCCAGCTCATCCCTGCGAAATCAAATAAATTTAGAAACTGGATAATTTTTGAAATTTGTTCTTTCACGTACTTCATGTTCTCAATGAATATGCTGACAAAGTCGCCCTGGCCAAGCAACAGATACCGACGCATGCCCTGCAGATGATCCAATAGCTTGTGTGGGCCAACCATAATGTCCAGCACATGTTTGGATGTTTGCGAATAGCATGTCTCGATTGCCGCATGCCAGGTTGTATCCGGAACATACGAGAAGATGTGGGAAACTAAATGAAATTCGAGCCGAAAAGAATTAAGGACTGATATCAAAGTATTTGACTTAATTTAGACTCACCATGATTATCAATTACAAACTTCAGCTCCTTGCGATCCTTAACAGCTTCCTCCACCTTGCATATCTCACGCAAAAAGTTAATACTCTTGCCGGTCTTAAGTATCTTATCGGCAAGCTCAAGAGTGACGAATTTGGGCAACATACTGTGGCGTAAGCGAAACTTATCGTGCCACAGACGATCGGCGCCGACCTCGTCAATTGATTCGATGAAGAACTCCCCGTGGCTATCCTCGATGCCGCCTTCGAGCATCCACTTTGAGATCATGCGCACCAACGGGGCACAGCACACAGTTAACAGATCTGTGGCTAATTTATTTACCATGGGGTCCCCATTATTTAAAAATTTATAGATCACGGATGCTAAGTCGCCGCCCTTCTTCATTTGGCAGGCATCGGCGATTTTTGTAAGCCATTGCATTCGACGAAGTGGCTCCATATACCAGCAAAGGAGCTTGAATAGGGTAAGCTGCTCCGGCTGTCTGTCCAACCAGCTTTTATCGCGATCAACATAGTCTCGCATCTGCGCCTCCCGATAGCAGTTCAGCTGATCCTGCAAAGCAGCCACGTGGCCATGAAATTCACTCAGCTCCAGCTTCAACTTCGCCATTAGCGCCTGACCCATGCTGCCCATCGCATTATAGCCGGTCGTTGTGTTGGAAAACTTGGTGATCCGATCATGATAATACCCTAGCTCGGAAAGACGCAAGAGCATGCCAGCCTGCACACTCGAAATCGACTGCATGCTGAGCGGATCGAGTTTGAAGCGTCCTGTAATAACGTCCTTTTTAAGATATTTTCCCTGTACGCCCAAAAACGCATAGATCGCATTCTGGACAACATTGTAATCGGTATTGGTGTTATTTTGCTTTGCTATCTCAACAACATAGTTTGGCAATGGTACGCTGCCAAGTCCAACGCTATTCTGTGTCGAGTCGTAGCTGCTAGGCTTCACGGAGACACCATTCTTGTTGCCATTTAGACTTATGCCATTCGACTGAAGGGTGGTGCTGCACGAGCTACGGATCTTGCTTTCCGTTTTAGGCCGCGGAATTGACGCCTGTTGTCCATAATCCACCTTTCCATACGATGTATCATTTTCCAGACTAAACAGGATGAGATTCGCTAGCAGATCTCGCATACGATGATCTTCAATCTGCAAAAAATTAAAGTTAAAATATGGCTTGGTAATACCACTAAATATATAAAATTTGTGTAATCCTTATCTATGTATCCGTTAGTAAAATCAACGTTTATCATTCTTTTCTGCTTTTAAAACATTGAATTGAATTTTTTTTGCTTTAAAACAACTTTAAGTCTTCGGACAGAAATAGATCGAATTAAGAATACAAATATAAGCAAATCTAATCGTACATAAATTTTGATGATGTTTCCCCACATGCCCAATTTCCAGCGAGTTTGAAATATAGCATAGTATTCTTATTTTGAATATGAATAAGAGTTTGGGTGATGTGTGCGTCATACAATTGAATCATATAACTCACCTCGCAGGAGGCCACAACGTAATGCTCGTGGAAGACGGAGCCAGGCTTGTCCTCGTCTCCCCATATCGGATTCGACTCCAATATTGTCATAATCTTGTCCAAGCAAATTATCTCTGGCAATGGCGGTGTACTATCAAATATATCGGGGCATTTTCGTATGTACTGCAGCGCGAGGGGCACCAATCGGTCTGGGGAATGGGAAGTAAAATAGAAAGATATCATATAGCTGTCGAGTGATTAAAGTTCTCTTATTTACCGAGCAATTCTTGCGAGTCCTTGGGATGAACGCCCTCTCTGAGCTGTGAGATGAGCCCCTTGAATTCGGTTGCAACATTATTGCTATCTGTGTGGTTGTTTGAGTGAGGCATTGTCTTTCCACAATAAGTTATATATATAGATATTTATAAGGGACGCGCGCGTTCGGGATTCTATGAAATTAGGCGGTGAAGGCGAAACAAAAATAAAAAAAGGAAAAAAAAAAAACAACTGCTGGTCGAATGCCTCAATAATGCAGCTAAATGGTTCTTAGTTACGCCCTTGCAGAGAATTCCTCAATTCACATGCCTAAAATGACAGCTTAAATGAAAAACTAAAGCGTTAAAGCAAACTAGTAGACCACTATTTATTAATATTGATAGGTTAGGCTCGCGTTTTGAATTTGTTTGCTGCCAAACAATAAAGAAAAAACGAGGGATCCTAAACAGTCATGAGCTGAACTACTTGCACTAGTTCGCAAAATACTCATTTAAATTGATTGCCCTCGCAAATCGACATGTTTCAGGAAAATTAAATACTGACTTCATAATAATATGATAATCCAAAAGTATTCGTCTTACAGGCAATAAATTTTAAAATAACAAAAAGAGTATTTACATATAATATTTCGTTCCGATATAAATATATATTTTTTTTGATAAGTTGTCATTTGCAAAATTAGGCATATTCGTTACAAGTAACGGGTACTTAAATGTCAACTAACTATTGAACAACCACAATAAATTTAAATGGCATCGTTAAGCAATCTGAAAGAAATTCCTTCGGTGTCGTCGCCAACGAGTGTGGGACACGGTTATAACTATGTACCTGAATTGGACCAATATCCAAAGATTAACCTAAAGAATGAACTCATCAATCCACCAGCTAACCGCATCTCAATCAGCCACAGCTTCATACCGGTAGAAACAGAAAGCGTGCCAAAGCGCATTTCGCGGACCTTTTTCGATGGCGGCTTTTGGGAATCGTTGACAGAGGCGCGCAGCGAGAAGACGCGTGAGCAGGCGCCAGTAATAAGCAAAGCTGCCGATTTCATTGCACATATGCTAGAGCTCTACAGCAGTTTCAAACTAAAAATATTTCCGCACACACAGCAACTGAGCGCCGAGCGAATTGCTCAATATGCAGAGACGAGGTATTTTATATTATTTTATTTTAATCTTTTGTACCTATTAATGGCCAATCAATTATAGAGACTGGATAAACAGTTCTGTGCGGTACATTGCATGGCACGTGCATGTCTTTAAGCTGGCCGTAGCCGGCATGGATGACGTCGTACGCATCTATGGCAAGACAACGGAAAGTCATGGCGGCATAGGCCACGTCCTGAAGAGTGCAACGCAAACTCAGATCACATGCATGGCCTGGCGACCGCTGTGCGCCTTTGAGCTGGTGGTTGGTTGTAGCCAGGGCTTGTGCTTTTGGATAATTGACAACAATTTGCACTTGGGTCGCACTATCAATCCCAGCTATACGTTGAAACAGTACGTCAATCGACATCCCTTGCCTGCCATAACTTAGCTTCTGTTTGTTTTCGCAGTCCGAGTAATCTACCGATTAGCTCGCTAAAATGGAGCAAGGACGGCTCATTGCTGGCCAGCTCGTCCATTGGCGACCGCGCCATTCTCATTTGGCATCCGGATAGCAAGAGGGTGAAGCCACTGAAGCGCCTCGGTCCACCGGGCTCGTTGCTGAGTTGGTCACCAAACAACGAGTGGATCTTTGCGGCAACTGTAGATCGAGTGTTTCGCGTATGGAAATGCCACAACAAATGGACTTCGGATCGCTGGGTGTGCGACGGAGGCAACGTACAGGCCTGCTGCTGGTCACCCTGTAGCCGGTTTTTGCTATTTGTGAACACTGCAGATCCTATCTTATATCGTCTTCAGTTTGTGCAGCTGATTCTTATGAAATGTAAGTCCAAATCAACATAACTCTTCAAATTTACGGGTGCGTTCAGCAGCGTGCTTGTCCAGAATTGCTTGCAAGCACG